GTTTGAAGAGCGTTGATAAGTGGCTGAGCACGCTGTGAAGATGTTCAGAAAACAGAAAAATATTGGGGAAAGGCCAGCTCAAAAAATTCTGCAACAGAACTTATTATCACGGACCAAGCATCATCTCCAGTTACTGCGGAAAGCAAAAGAAAAAGGTTAGTGGGAACAGAGCGAGATTGTGCCAGACAAGACACCTTAGAGAAGTGAGAGGTTCCTGTCATTTGAGACACATTCGAGCTTCACGTGCGCTTTGATTTATGCATATTAATCACTTTTATTGTTTCCCACCGCATAGTTCATGCAAAGTTTAAGGTTTGCGATGTTTAGCAGTTAACCGGATGGAAAATTAGAGCGTAAATTGAGTGTATTTATTTGTTTCCAACTGCACACAGTGAGAAAGCAAACTGGTGCTCACGTATCTTCTTGTAAACATTCGTAAACCTATTGAGGGAAAAGCTTGAAGACTAGAATAGCCTTTATCTTATCAATCTAAGGGTACAAAGACGTTCCAGTCGGCTCAAGTCGCATAAATGGTGACTAGACGGGTAACGGACTCGTTGTCCAAGACCAAACTATCAAGTGAAGAGCAAAGTGGGTGGTGAATTTTACTACACAGTTCTTAAAGGAGCACACCAGAGATGCGAGGACATTTACTGAGGAATAAATAATCCGGAAAGCTGACCTTGCAACTTCCTGGGTTAGCTAATAGTTTATGGCTACGCGTATTATCGGTAGATGTCACAAATGGTTAGACTGCCGGGACCACGAGGTGCAGGTGCGTAAAAACTAATGTGCGACAAAACATAAGGTTAATTTAAAATCACCTGGCCACAGAGGTTCCATCTCCATCCAGGGTGTTACACTAGAAGCCGTAGTTGAATCTTCAGTCACTTCAAAGTGTTTTAATGTGAGGCACCATCGTATCCTTCGGTCTCAAGTTTGCCGCTCACGTGGCCACCAAGGATAAATAGGTACATTTGCAGCGCAGAATTCTCAGCATGTGATATTCCCCATTAAAAGTGGTTCTGTTTAACAGCATATGATAAATAGCAGCATGATTGTTCAAATGTTTTGATGGCTTTACGGACATAGTAACCGTTCACCGTCGCAAGGTTGGTTGATGAGACGGTGTCCGTCACGATTTTCTCCAAACATCACACAAGCTAAATAAGATATGGTTTAGTTTTGAGCGCAGTTGTGTGCACATAAAGCTTATCATATCTGCTCCTTGCCTTCCTAGAGAACAGAATGGAGAGAGGTGCGGATGCATCGGATACTTGTCACCGGACCAGTAGTCTGCAGGTCTTCAGATTCCTGTTCGCGACCACATTCATTAGCACCATTAATTGTGCACAACTTGCTCTACTAACAGCCTTCAATATCCTACCCAATACAATGTCGTCTTTTCTCCGGAGTCCAGGAAAGAATAAGGGGATACAAAGTGTAAAGGTAAGACGCAGGAACTAATAAAATACAGGAGTAGAGGTTGAGTTAAGCGGCTTAGTTCTGTGCGCTATGTAAAGTTTGAACCCTCAATTTAGTAACAAAGAGGTAGCAAATCGTATTTTCAAGAAGTCTGCGTGACTTAGATAGGATGCAAACCGCTTGTTGAAAGGGTATTAAGTAACCAGTATCTGAGACCAAGGTCAAGTACTGCAGACGGTACAGGCAACTCTGTCCATATGGCTAACGGAAGACTTGAGGTTACAGTTACCTATGCTAAACCAGTCGCATTCGTCATTATTGAAATTAGCGTGGTACTCGGCACACCATCTTGCCACCTAACCCAGTTCTTGTCGAGCGTTACCCAACGTGTAGTTCGGCTTTAGAGTGTGGAAAGAATAGGCAGTCCTCAGACCATGAATGAGTGGGAATGTTCTTTTATGGTGAATTCGTTGCGTGCGCTATTAATAACAATTATAAGCAAGAAATTTCTGGGTTACGTAGGTCCATTTTGATATGGCACACGGTCATGTGATGCTTTCAACCGTACGGCCCTTCGCACAGAATTTGTTGCTCATAACAATGTAGGAGGCTGATGTGCTACCATTATATAACGCTTAACTGGCCCCACCTGACTCGATGTGCTTTAGTACCTGTTCAGTCAGTACCTTACCTAGGGGGAGGCGCTGATAACGAGGCACAAACCGGAAAGGATGTTAATCAGGGTAAGCTCGGGAGAATAATATGTTTAAGTAGAATAAATATGAAAGTCAGTTTTGGGGGAAAAGTTTGTTCAACTTATCTGGCTATCATGTCTAATCCAGGAACTCTGAGAATGTGTGTGGTGACCGCCACAAAAGGAGCAAAAATGGCGTCGAAGGCTTCTCGGATGTATGTTCATTAAGATAAAACTGAAAACTCACCATCCCCAGGTGAGCTGGGAGCTTATTCGGTTGATATTTAGTTAATTCAATTTAATCTATATATTTTGGCTCTAGTCGTATTTTTGTGCCAAGAAAGTACATCACAGTCATACGAAGGATAAGATATAGCTCGTGACAATAAGGGAAACTTACATATTTTGTGCCCCTGATGCCCTTTTAAAGTCCCGAGAGAGACAGTTGTGAAATATTTCATTCATTCTTTAATTTTGCCGGTGCTGTGAAACGGGTATCAATAAAAAAAACTAGTATTTCTATTCTCAGGTTGTGAAGTTAACATGAGAGAAGTCGGTTTACAGGCATCATCAAATTGTTAATTGCAGAGAGGCCTAAAAGGTTTGAGCAGCGTTGAATGGTACAGAATAAGGACGCTAAAATCTACTATGATATTAGGTGTCTAAAAGTTATGAAAGGAGGAGGATACTATCACTTCAAAGTACATACACATCGTCCTGAGTTTAGATAATTCTTACTCTCAGTTCTTTCTTTCACACTGAGGTAGCATCAAATCAGCGCAGTATTCGGTGTTTGCGTTATGAGTAGTAGACATGATTGACCCGTCTGCAAAACTCAGTGTTTCATTAGATAAACGTATATTCTAACAGTAATTCTAATGTTCGTAGCCTTATTGACCAACAATAACTCACTTCAATGATTCGGGAATAAGTATCCATACAACCATTGAATCCAGGAGAATATCTAAGTTCTGTCACTCTTCACTCTTTAAATGTTATCTATCCCGGCAATTCAGATTGATAATGCTGAAAATGCTCATTGTGGTGCAAGTAATTAAAGGCTGGAAGAAACGTTGTTCAATAATGGTGAATTTTACACATATGTAATCCTTCATAGATATTCATGGTGAAATTTGTATCCCACCTGTTTGAACTATTGAGAGGAAACTACACTTATCTCCGTCTAGCACCAGGTCAGCAAGAACGGAAGAAAATATTTCATCCTAAAACACAGCGAGTTTACTATCTTCATCCAAACACGAAGCTAAATGCTGAAAAACTATTACCTAACATCTTAATGTTATGCTTGCCGGTGATTGCGTACACAATGAACTCTCTATGCTGTCAAACTGCTACTGTTATGTCGCTAGTAAGCTGCCTATTAAAAAAGCACTCATATTTTACAAGTTCTGCAGTTTTTGTGACCACACTAAGTGCTGCCTGCTACTTGCGACCACTTGCCAGTTTGTAACATGGGTAGTGGATCTTGTACGCGAAATTGCCGATTTACCCTTGTCAGTTTGCACCAATATTTGTTCGCTGCTTCAAAAGTACGACTTAATAAATTTTTGCTCACTACGAAGTCTAACCAGACCATGACTGTGATGTCGATATTCTCCTGCTTTGAACCGATGATATACGACTATCCCTACATGGTGCCCATCTTTGCCATCCTTCCGTCTTTAAAACGAATTATCCCCAACAGAGTATGCGACAAATGTTTGACATTTCTTTCTTTCTTTTGAGAAATCCAACAGGAATTCATCCTTGTGAAAAACTTTTATGTGTAGAAACTATAGATATCCATTATCCTGTCCTGTTCAGTACAGTAATTCTACTCGTATAAACCTGCCGACGATTTCTTCGTGGTAAAACAATACCAGCCAAAAATGTGGAACTGGTTCGAGTATATAATCATGCCTGTAAACCGGCGTGTTTGTAAGCGCAAGAATAAACTGTTATTTTATCTTCAGAGCCTTAGGTTTAGTCCCTTTAAATCTTTATATCCCAGAACCTCCCAGTTAAAAGTCATGACGAGTATGGCCAACTAGATAAGTACCATGTGATCTCAGTATCCTAGGTTGGTTGACGTTTCAGTCTCATCACTCATATCCAAAGTAATGTGCCTGTCTTTAGTTCCACAAAGCACAGGGTGAGGTTAGTGGCTGAGGAGGATGTTTCTACCGTAGCGGCTGTACATGAAATGTGACCCCCGGAAAACACCAGTCGTGCTACAATTCATCACGGGGGCTTCAAATTATTCATCGATGTGAACCGGCGGAAGCTAAGTAAGGTCTCACTCTGCATCAGTGTTCTTTGGTGAATCCTCATAAGCTTCTCCCACCCATAATTAACAAGCTGTCTGTGGTGCAGCATAAAAGGTGTGGTTATAAATATCTCATTGTTGTCCTCTACCATCCTAAACACGTCTTTACACCGCTTAAAGTTAGACCAAAACAAACGAAAATTTAAATTCCGGTTGTGTCATTACGGAGATTGTCCTTTAGTTCCTCAAATTTCTCACTACTGAGAGTCCATGTACCCTTTTAAGAGATCTTCGAGAAATACCTTAGGAACTCTATCCGGATAAAGGCATTTTTTAGTGTACCCGCTTGATATGTGGCGGTTTGGCTTCCCTTATGTGCCGTGAATAGCGGCGTCTAATGTATAGCTCGACATTGTACATAACAGTCATCTCTCATTACCAAATGATCAAACCTATAAACTGGCTTGTTTTCACGTAACTTATGTTGTTTGAAATATACTATTATTAATATATTTGTACCAGTAATATTGCCAATTTATCCGACGTATATTTCTGCAAATCTCTGGAATTCGGTCATTGCGTACTGTTTCCTTTCAGCATCTCAACGTAACTCACCTGGACCTGAAAAATCATCTTGGCTAGTAGAAAGTGACGTATCCATACTGAATAAGACTTAGTTAAATGCATAGTCCTACGGACAAGTGATAAAAACATAGATTTGGCCTCCTCACATTAAAATAAGGGACCTCCTTTTTCTTGGATAACGTCTGGTACTGTCAAGTTTACATGACATGAGCCACTGGCTGTGGAATAGTGGAGAGGTATTAAAAGTACTAACGGCTAGAAACTTTAGAAGGACATCTGTAACATAAGTGCAGCAAACATCGTGCGAGACAGATTATTTAACCACAAGCATGCCATCAGGGCACTGGGAGTAAGACACTAATCACTATGAACACCGGTGAAAAGACTCTCGTCTAGTGAACAGGTCCCTAATAGCTTGGAAGTTCATCACACTATAAGTTGGCTAACTTACTATAGCAGGGATTCGAGCATAACTTCCGTCAAGTGTGGAGGATAACCTATCACCGGAAAGACAGTGATGTTAGTGGAGGCTGCAGCCATGTGAACTTAGAACAGTCTAAATAAGGAAACCTTGAAGTCCTCAGATCCTAACGTCGGCAGGACCAGATTACTGTCACGTGACGGCACCGAAAGCGTCTACCTCTGTTCCTCGCGTCTTAATAACAAACATTTTTAATCTTTCGTTTCTAGGGAGCAGGTTGCTTGTATATACATATATGTATGTCCATATACCAAAAAATACTTCCCAGACTACATCTAGCACGAGTTTTCGCAAGACGAGTCATCCGGGTAGCAATTTTCGTCACCTGAAACGGCTTAGTTCTCTGTTTTGGGCAAGAACAGCTCACTGGCAATGGGTACTTTGCTTCTGGATACCGCAAGCAGTGAGCTTGAAAGCTGGGACAGTTTCATTTTCTACGGGGAACGTGAAAGCAGAAACTCCACGACTTGATGTGGCTGACTCATTTTTTCATGATCATATGACAACTGGTGATCGAAGCTGATTAGCGGTTTCCACCCAAGCTCTTGTCTGCTAGGCCTTCCCTCACTGTCTCAGTGCTGCGCCACCTACATGATGGCACCACATCCAGTATGTTTACATCTTCTGTAAGTGATGCCAGTATGTCATCTTGAATGAAATGCAGTCTTGTTAATCTACTGCGTTTGTTCGCCGACTGTCCGTCTCAACTTTATTTTTAAGCCACTACCACTGTCAGACGTCATGAAGGTATCACTCTGCAGCAGAGTGGTTGTTTGGCCGTCGTGGGATTCAATCAATAACCATCGTGGCGTTTATGTTTTATTGCTGATTGGTGTATTTCTCCTCTACTTTCTTAGAGACTACGGCTTGTCGTATTTGATTCTGATTTCTCACTTACTGACAGTGCCTGGTAACATTAAAAACGGTGGAAATCCTTGGCGTGCTCGGAAGACTTCAGAATACCCTTAAGGGTGGCGGCTTAAATCGGGGTGTCTGATTACCCTTAGAAAGGTCTCAGAATTTTCCATGGAGACGAGAAAGCCCGGGTGATAACTCATACTCGGTTTTCAAACCCTGCTCCTCCGTCCGATAGTGAGTCTATGAATAATAGCAATGTTTCATACAACATAAGTTACGTGAAAACAAGCCAGTTTACAGGTTTGGCCATTTTGGTAATGAGAGATGACTGTTATGTACAGTGTCGAGCTACACATTCGACACCGTTATTCGCCACATATAAGGGATGCATCTAGGAAAGGAATGTTGATGCTTCGCATACAGCAAAGAATAAAACGGATGAACACCAACATAATTGTTAATCATACTGAAGCAAGCTCAGACCGAAAACAGAAATTATTCAGCCATTGTTTGAATCTTCCAATATTCTTGAAGGTAGGGCGGGTAGTACAGCCATTACCTTAGATTTTGTGCATCCATCATAAAGTTTTGATGGCATGGTGCACGCTGACAAATGAGGTTAATAGGATTCCATATAGATGAAGAACTGGTCGTGTAGACCTGAAAAATGAATATCGAAGGCGAGCGGCAGGCGAAATTCGAAACAGGAGCACAAGAATACCATGCAGAAGTGTATTAACAATGATACATATAGGTGAGTTCATTGTTCTGACTACAAAAGTTATTTGAAGAAGTGTCCAGAGACAACTGTTTAGAGATAAGCTTATGAAGAAAATGAAGGTGCATACAAAAGTAGTGGAAACTATACTGAGGCCGAAGATATCACTATGTAATAGGGAGAATGCAGGATTTTGGACCAGTTATTCTCTTGTGTATAGAAAACCTATACACAAAAGTTTAGTGAAGTTATAAACATTTCAATAAGACTCATGCCTTTTGCCATAATGGTAAACACGCTTTATATAGTCAGGGGGGAAGGTGTTACCATATCAGGGCTATGGAGACAATGGGGTGGTGCAGAGTACTTACATGTAAGTACTGACAACAATGGACAAACAATAAAACATGTTACATGCTAAAAGATCCGCCGACAAACGGTCCATTTATCAATCAGGGGTAGAGGGATTGTTTTAGGGCAAGATCTATCAGCAGTAGATGCTTGGTAGAGAGATCAGCTAGTTTACACCAGAGTAGCTACAGAGTTCACTTGTGCAAATCGTATCATACTACGCTCCCTGTCTACTCCAGATCAGTTTTTTAAAAATTCGATTTCGTTTTAACCTATGAGCTTAGGTTTCGGCATTGTATATTTTTATCCTTGCTACTAGTCATTATTGAGTCTAGGTACCAGTAGCACCATTGTACATGGTGTTACCGTCTGTGATTCGGCCAATAACTAATTGGTTAGAATCTTTAGATGGGAGGAATTCACTAAGTAACCGTTAAAACTGGCTGAGAGATCGACATGCCTGCACAGGAGCGGGAGGTTTGCTCCGCAGCCTACCGTGTTGCGTTATGAAAAACCTACGTCGAAGTTTCGAGCGATACTTATTTATTGGGATGGTGTGTTGGATATTACGCAGACTACATTCCGATGTTGAGTTAAAAGCAATAGCACAGTTCGTTTTAGATTTTCCAAATAAAAGACGAAAGAGAAAGGTTGGATTGAGCTTCAGGTATCTCAGGTAGAGTGATTATAGCTCTGGTTTCTCGCACCTTGCTTCGAAATGAAGTCCTTCGTTATGTATTAGAAGGAGGCGGGTAAAGTTTCGTTGAATGTTCTCTACTCGAATTCTATCAGATACTCTCATATTACCATAGATAATGCGCAATACTCTAATGTTGGACTAATCATAACTTCATATAGTGTAAGTTTTGCCTCAGGTGTGAGTATATTTCTGCGTGAAAGACCTATGAGTCTTCTGGCTTTGGAAACTATTGAATCCGCATACTCCTTAAAAGTCAAACTCCTGGAGTAAGTGATTCCGAGGTCTTTCACAGTGTTGTATATCTGCGGTGCCGCGTCACCCAAGTGTAGTGTTACATCTGGGTGGGATTTATTGAAATGGAGGATGCCGCTTTTATGTGGGTTTAAACGAAGCTGCCGGGTCGCGCTCCATGTAAATATTCCCTCAAGATCTTCTTGTATTTGAGAGAAAACTTGTGTTAGTGCTGCGCGAGAAGAGCTGTAGACTATCCTCAAGTTGTCTGTGAAAAGGTAAGGTATGCCATTTCTTTGGCTGAACTGTTGGTGAAGTAGGGGCTCCAACCTATGCAGCGCAGAAACGATTGTAGTTTTTCCCATTTGGCATACTTGTACTTTCTAGCTAGAACCGTTTCCGTCTTTTGGGCTGCTTTTGTGCTGGGTGTTCTGAAGTATCCATATACTATCTTGTGATTGCTACCTGGAAATTGTGTACCTACTTGGAGTTTTGTGGGTGTGGTTCCGTTTGTGAAGACTAGGTCCAGGACACCATTGTACCTGGAAGGGTGTTCCACATGTTGTTGCTAACCCTCTGTTTCAAGAATGCTTATAAATTTATCAAAGCGCTCTGGATAGCTGATTGGTTGCCACGTTATATCTGGCATGTTAAAGTCACTACATATAATTTTCGTTATGTGTAGTAGTGTTGCCACACTAGCGAACGCGCTTGTTAGCTTCTCATCGTATTCGACTGAGGATCAAGGGGGTCGGTAAGTGCGTCCTATTAGGAGAAGTGTGGAATGACTAAGTTTGGTGATAACCCGTACTGAGTTATCAATCTCGTTTAGGTCAGAGGTTGAGCACTGCATAGCAGTGATGCCAGACTTCATACAGATAATGCACCCTCCTCCTTTACCATGTGGTCTGTCCCTCCTGAACAAGGAATAGCTGTCGGTGGAAATCTCTGTGTCAGAAATATCAGAGGTACACCATGCTTCTGTAGCCATTATCACGGACTGATCATAAATCAGAGATAGCGGTATTATCCCTCTCACTTTGTTGCGTACAGAGCGGGCGTTGATCATGAAAGACGGAAAAGAATTAAGAGTACAAAAGTGTTTGGATAGATCTGGAAAAAAGTCAGCGCTTCTGTACATTCCTTGTCGGTCCTTTGCGTACATCGTGCTAGCTATGCCATGAACGTTAGTATTTGGCGAAGATTCGGTAATGTTTACCTCAGAAGGAACAAGGAGTTCGCCACATTGTGATTGGTATGGAGACTGTTGGTCAAGGTAGTGAGCAGATGATCTGACAGCATCTGAGTCACTTGCATTACTGGTGGCTTTGCAGCCGTAGGCTTTCCGAAAAAGCCCTGTCCATAGGAAGTAATGGGGACTGATAGATCGCATGGCATGCCTACCTGCTGGCTGCCATATGCATTACGGTCATAGACGACTTTATATTCACTAAGTTTTTCCCCAGGGGATCCATGGCAGCTTTGTCGTTGAGTGGCACATAACCCACGTTTTGCGGCATATGGGTGAGGCAGAGAGCACAGCCTGTGGCTACCATTCGGCTCACTATCCAATAAGTGTGGTCAATGAGGGGTCTGGCCGTGGTGTGCGTCTGCTAGTGACCGCTGAAATGTTAAGAAATGTGGATCGCCCAGACAGTGGTAATTTGGCTTGGTAGTAGGATGAACTGAGAAATAACGTCTGGCATTTTTCTTGATGTGGCTTTGCGAGGGTGCCATGGCCTTCTGTTATTCGTACTGCTTTTTCGTCTATCGGCTTGGCTACTGAATTGTCTTTTTGGCAATTTGATCAACCTGGGTGGGTCCATGTTAGGGTTAATATAAGAGTGTTCAATGCTATCTGTACTCTTTGTCACCTGCCCACTTGATGCATATAAGGTATGCAGTGGCCTATTCGGGAGTAGTTTAGACTGTTTACGCGCTAGACTTTGGGACGGTCCTATAGTGACAGGGTGCCTGTGGCTGGTGCTGGGTATGTTTGCAGGTGGAGTAACCCCTCCTGACGACATTGTGATATCTTCGGTATTTTGCTGGATCGATAGCGTGGCACTTCGTTTGGTGGTGTTTTGTGTGACGGGGTGAGACGTGGATGAGCTATCCACTTCTGTAGGCAGTGAGATCACTTTCGAGCGTATTTCGCCGACTTGCTCAAGCCTACCATCATGCCATCGGCTCTACTACCTTCGTGTGTGAGTGGGCTATTTTTTGGGCTCTGGTGTTCCTCATTCCTTTGTTTTGGTAGTGATCAGTTCACTAACAGATTGTGTTTCAGTTGTGAGTACTACAGCTTGACTAGAGTTTGCGGCCTTTGGTATTTTTGTGCGATTATGTCTTTGACAAGGTGTTAAGCCTAGTGAAAGTTTGACACTTTTATATGGCGTGGATACAGTAATAAGTTGGTTGGATGATAGGAAGTGTCTGGCGTGATGAGAGCTATTAAATTTGAACAATAAGGGGGAGGTTTATTTCCCCAACTCCTTGCGGAGACAGATAACTTGGTATTCTGCAGAAGACATGTTACAAGCCAGCAAACATAGGGCTTTTAGTTTTTTGGTCGGTTCGTGGTCTGGTATGTAGTATACCAGTACATTGTATGAGAGCACAATTCATTTATTAGCCTCTGTAGCTATGAAATCTAGGGCATCTTTTATTTTTAATAGGGTTTCAGCATTAGCATCTCGAATAGGCTGAAAAAGATGCTGCAGTGGCAGGATGACTTAAACCTTAGCGTTCATGTCTTGGTGTGACTTCTGCAAGGTTATCAAATCTCTCTTATTTTTACGCGAAGTGTTATATATCTCCGGCATTAAATCGAATGCCTTAACTTCAGGGCCTCGTCTTGGGCTTGATGTCGAACCATTTAGTGAACGTGCTCTTTTAGCTGAGATGCCAGGATTAAGTTTACGTGTGTGAGCAGCACATATACGTTTGTTGGGCTGGACCATGGTGGAGCAGTAGTAGTCACACGTTTACTGCGTTCGTTGATACCGAACAACAAGCAAAATAACCAGCAGTTATAGAAGGCTTAACAGCGACCTATGTAACAAATATGATGGTTATTAGCAAATGTTTCTCGGCAGTTTAGGTAAAGTATACTGCAAAACCATTATGTCTCGACGTTAACAGCGTTAGTTCGTGACTAAATAAGACGAAACAGACAAATAACTTCTTTTTGAGTTAGTCATCGTTTTGATTCCTCTGTTTTCTCAGCAGTAATTTTTTGCCTCCCGCTGAGTATATTCAAATGGGTGTTTCTTGAAGGTGGTATTTGTTAACGTTCCAAGAGAGGGGTATGATCCTCAGGAGGTTGAGTTTCTGAGGGAAAGAAGCAGCATATGCTCCCAAAGTTTATTCTATGCCGACAGGAGATCTACCAAACCGCTCAGGGTGCCGATATACAATATGAGGATATGCAGCAGCAACGTAACGTCTAACTTATTGTCATCAAATAAGGTGACATGGTTGGTCCTCCCAGTACGATTAGTTTTGCATGTAAAGCATCTGACTTTCCAACATATTTCGAATGCAACTGTCGTTTTTTCGTTCAACCACGAGTTAAAAAGTCCCCTGATTGTTCTTAGTCGCGCACCTCATCGGTAGCATCTTGTTTCTCAGATATGTGGCTTCTTGTTTGGCCTGAAGTAGTTTGCTTATGAGCTAGTGCGTTTGAAGCCATGGACCTAGCCTTATCTTCGGTCTCATTCTCGTTATTTTTTGACCCCTCTCCTACTTCATTCTGTTATGGTGATGGTTTTCGTGCGGTGGAAAGTAGTTCCTTCCGGTCATCTGCGAGGAGCATAGATAGCTTTCTGCATCCCGGAGTGATGTGATGTGATGCTTGTTTGTCCATGAGTTTATAATTTTTGGACATCAGAAAAACACCCTACACTCCATTGATATGAGTTGCATGGAGATGTGTCATCCATAACTGGTACGGCTATAAACACATACCGGAATCATCATCTGTTAGCATGTCGCTTGTGTTCCGTGAGCACGCTTGCGGCTGCAGCTTGTCGCAAAGCATTTGGGGTTGACATCCTATTCTTCCACCAGCCGAGCCACTTCATTTTTCTTTGAGTTGGCAAGTTCAGGTGCCCACCATATCTAAGACTGCTTTGTTTCATAATAGAGCTACCGAAAGTCATGCATATGACCGCTTTGAGCATCTTGAAGAAAAGGGTGATAACGTGCTTATGAAATCAACACTTAGCTGAAGTTACAATTGACCGTATTGCCATGATGAGGCGTTTTCCTGTTAGCTTGGGATCTTCTCAGCCTTGCCAGTGTCTAAGACTACCGTTTCGACTGGTCATGACAGTATCATAAATAACAGTATAAACAGTGGTAGCGAAATCAGCAATGTAAATTGAGTTGAAGGACAGAACGCGGAAAGAAAAGCAACTTCCTAACAGTTGTCAATTAGCTCTCTGCACACGGCCAAAAACCTCTGGAGTAATTTTCAGATGTGCCTGCGGAACGACGAAGAATCTTTTCTTGGGAAAAAATTTGAAGAGAACAAAGCAAAAATAGTCGGACAGTCGAAACAACCAAGGAACGCTAAGAGTAGTTTGGTAGGTTCTAAGAAACAATATTGTTGATTTTACCAGTTTCGGGGTATTTTGAAAACCATATGGCTGTTTACTGAGTGCAACTAAGTGAATGCTGCTATTGTCTAGTTTTTTGTAAGTGGTTTTCAAGAGTTGAGTAACTTCAGTTTTCAGACAAACAGACGATTCATGTCACTAAGTGGTATCAACTAGCTGCCTCCAAAAACTTTGAAAGACTTGAAAATGGACAAGAATAGGTAACTTATCTGAAATTAGCTATCCTATGTTATATTGGGCTTATGTTCTTAAAAGTGAGTCGGAGCGCGTCACTTAATGTTTGCGGTACAACGTGATTAAATGCCGTCTCTTTACAAACCTCCCGACCTACCTAGGGTTGTGTATGTTGTATTTCTATTGAATAACACTCTGTAGGAAGAACATAAAGTTTCAGCTGTGCAATGAGGGTGACTTGAAAAGATTGAGTCATGTGCAAGTTCTTAAATGTCTTTATATGGGGAAGGACAAAGCAGCAGAAAGGCCATAGACTATGGTCTTCTAGATCCAAGACTGGGAGCAAATAAAAGGGATGAATTGTGTGCCACTTGTGGTTTAGACTACCAAACATGTGTTGGGCATTGGGGATACTTCGATCTACCAACGCCAATTTATCATGTCGGGTACACTTGGCATATAGTTAAAATACTACAATCAATATGTAAAGTATAGACCGTAGATTTTTAAATTTTATTTGTTAGACTTGCTCACGGGTTCTACTTTCCGACCAACAACGTTCCAAGTTTTTGTTGAGCTGTACCAATCCCAACCTGGACTATGTACATAAAAAGCAGCTTCGCAAGGCAGTACATAAACTAGCCAGCAGGACGCACGTTTGTCCGTTTTGCTCAGCAATGAATGGTGTGTTCTTAATCTTGCTTACTTTCATGTCTTAGGTGTTGTTACGAGAGGCACTAGCCTTTCATACGTTGTTCATGATATGTTTCGGCACGCCAAAGCAAAAATTGACGAGTATGTAAGTGGATTCGCAAACCTATCTTCAGAAAATTTGGACCTGACGCAAGTTATCCGAAAAGGCTTGGTATGTGTCCCGTGTAGTTTGGTTTACTCTTTTTTGATGAATACCGATTATAGCCTTACTGTGTTCACTTTCTTGGTAATTATCGCTCTTTGTTAAGTGCTATTTTTGACCTATGGGTAATCGTCTAAATGCACTATGAGCTGGGAACTAAATTTATGTACGTAGATGTGCAAAGCAAGTTAGGTTGTGATGACTGAAAAAAAATTTTGCGTTGGGTATCCGTACTTCCAGATGAATGTAAAACAAGAAAGAATTCGCTTTGTTTTACACTTGTCAGAAACTAAAAATACGAAAATAATCATCTTGCACTTAATTTTCAAACATTGCGTTGTGAGTCCAAACGTGGCAATAAGGCCTCTGGAACTATTGGTGAGTACAAATTGTTTAGACGAGATCACCCCTCATCCTATGTGAAGACAGTGGAAAAAGAACTAAAAGACTCAGTTTTTAACCGTAGTAGGGGTTGGAGAACCTCCTAATTATATTAGTTCCTTCGCTGGACTCGCTGTAATATGTCGGCTTTATATCCGAAACATGGGCTAGCTGCTTGAATTCCATGCTCCAAATGGGCTCTTGCACATATCGGGCACAAGATCTGAAGCATGTTTTTATCAAAGCTGTGAAAGGCTTTTCATAAGGACCACATTATTCGAAAGCTTTTGCAGCTGTCACTTTACGGTTAAGCGATGCTTCAAGGTCATGACTAGCTGTGACACCTAAGTTCTTGTATTCAACTATTTTGGGCAGTTGTGTCAGGTCATTTAAGATTTCTTGAAGTCGACTCAAAATCCTGTGCACTTTCGTGCAGTAAACAATGAACCACACCTATTGTTTGAGAGATAATCATGCTACTGGGCTTGCTAAACCTCGGTAGATGGATCAGGGTTGGAAACAGTAACCCACTAGTTGAGATTCAATTCCTTAAACCAGTGATTTACACTTATAATTCATTTAAGTCGTCTTTACCTATTCGCATAAGTACGACCTTAATGGTATTAATTTCTAGACACCATCACGTGGATTAATATACTGGAGCATGTAGGTTCTCGTCTAAGTAAACTCAATGTGAGTAGATCACCAGAGTTCAACACTATAGTCAAACATGAGGATAAGAGACCTAGTTGTTCTATGCAACTTTCATGTAGAGTAAGAAGAGAAGTGCACCCAAGGTATTACCTTGAGGCACTACCCTCTTCAGTTGTCTCGAAGAAAAAGAAACTTCATCTACCATCACTCTTTGTCTACTATCGCAAGAAAAAAATCTTTGATTCAATTCCTAACTACATCTATTCCGAAAAATTGCAGCTTCTTCTTTAGACCTTATCGGAAACCTCAACAGAACAATAGGACGTAATTTGTCTTGATCGTGTAACATATTTGTGGAACATATTTTGAACAATTTGATTGCACACGTACTTGTCATAAGTTTTTTTATGAAAAGTTAGAGGGTGAGGGTGTATACATTGATGAAGTAACAAAGTTAATTTGAAGGCCAACATAACAGTGAAAATCAACATTGCGAAAATACTATTTCCCTCGATGTGCATTAGAATTGTGTTGCGAATGATTTATTCCCAAAGCTTGGATATCAGGCTTGTCAGAGTAACTGAACGATAGTTAGCCGCTAGATAAGTTGACGATGGCATCCCTCCAACCCTTGGGTGATTTCGATTGGTTTTATTGATATATTAAATAGCCAAAAAAGTGATTCAGGGATAGTACCAACTAATGCTGATAATATGCGTGGATGTAGTTCATTTGGAACCCAGAAATTCTCCTGGAGTAGTTTTAAGACGATCTCAACGGGCATTGATTTCATTCTTGTTATGTCACCAATGAAAACAGTTTCTGGGCACTGAATACAACCCGTACCGAGTACTGTGATAGAGCCTCAGCCTTATTCGTATAACTACCAGCCGCGTGCGTTGAATTTTCATGCTGCATCGGGGCTAGGATGCTTTGATTCCTCTTTGTTCTCCCAATGTTGGGGTACAACCCTCTTAGGATATTTCTGGGGATCTTCCTTATTGTATACTAATTTAGATTTTCTAATAAGGCTTTACAGCTTCACATAGTTTTGATTTGTCATTGACCCTTGGGCGCTATGATAATGTGTAAGGGATGTCGTGACCACCTAGACCTGTGCAGTTTGTATCAAATCCAGGAACTGCTTTCCACGCTAGTAACCAGTATTAGTATTGCATTTATGAATTTTGTTGTCAAAAGAAGTAAGCATGCTAGTTTTGCAAGGCTGGAAAATAAAATGAAGTTCTTTATATGTAGCATGTTTATGTGACACTATCATAGTTGTTAAACTGTAGAAATTGATAAAGACACATTTTCGTCCGACTTCCTCATTAAAGCATCACATTTAAATATCACGAATTATTTTTATTATAGGAGATTATAAGGCCGGGGAGAGCGCTGCAACTATTTTCGAAAATCCCGGAGGAAGATTTACCGTTACTTCTCATGCCTTCTGATTCACAATGGACGACACATCCACGTGATTTGATTGTTCAGCGAATTCCTGTTTGTCCCAGTGCAATCAGACCATCAGTTGTTTCGGAGGTGCGTAGTGGAACGTAAGTGACTCCCTAATTTTGCGTCATTTATTTTAACATATATATCCGTGCTTAATTAGCTTACTAACAATATGTGGTAAGGATATATTTTAACAAACCCGATAAACTATTCCACTTCTCACAGCTCATAGTCCATCAATTATTTTATTGAACTGATGCTAATACCACTACAAAATTGATGAATCCATCAGTTCAAATTAATGCGAAAAACCAATTGCACGTTTACTCACCATCAAAAAGTATTGAACTCGACCTCAGAAGGTAACCCTATTATTTTCTATCCTTTAGTGGTGATGAGATTCTTTTCTTCAGGTTTGCAGTTAGTGGCTCAACTCTAAGGTGCGCTGTGTTTGATGTTAAAAGTATTCCAAAAAATCTCATGGATCTAGATATATCGTTTGTTGGTACGCATAAGAATGACCTAAGAGTGTTTCAAATCGTAGTTGTTGAGTTATTTACCCAGTCTGATTCATCTACTATCGGAATCGTCTTGTCACAGAATCAACGCTTAGATGCGTAGTACATACTATGAATAAGACTTTAATTCCCTTAAAACCGGAGTTGACACTCATTGACCTAGGTACAATTTTTAGTCGGTAATTCGCAAGTAATAACTCTGCTGCACTTTACCAAAGTTTGCAACTTGCCAATCTAGCTGTTAGCACTTATGGTTTTTATATCAGCGCTTTCCCCAAGAACCTGTTTGGTAGCCCATTATTAAGTTCATTACTTGGTTGGAAAATTTTCAATGTTAAGTATGTGGACGGTATTCCTTACAGACAAGCTACGTAAATTACATTTTGTCATTTGACGATCACTCTTGATAATTATATCATATTTTTTACAACCTGATTGCAAATTGATTTGGAAGATAGGTTGTGGGCTACATTGGCACTCTTCCTCTACTCGAAAGCTCGTGTATTTAGGTAGTTGTGTGTCAACATCCGTTGGTTTAATGAATCTCCACTTGATAAATCCCAATCGTTCTGTACTAGTGCAATGTACACGTGGTGCCGTGCTGATGTTTATCTGATTGTTAAATACTGGATGTGTGAATTATTTTTCGATGTATTTGAGTTTCATAATTGTGAAACTTAGAGATATTCGCTGGCTGTGTTCTATAACTGCCACCTAAAAACCATCCTTGTTTAGTTGGGACAGTGTTAATAGTAATGAGGTTCAACTGTACATACTTGGGTACAATAGGAGCTGTTTTAGCGTTCTGAAATACTGACCATTATGTTTACTGTACATCTCAGTGGTTTTTAAGTTGGGTACTGTTCTATGACTTGAACTGTTCAATAACAGAGGCGTAGCCTTCGGTCTGAAGGTTATTTATATTAAGTTGACATTTGTTGACACTTCTCAACTTTGCAACTCAATGATCCTAAATGTTGTAAGTTATTATGTCCTGCAGTTCGCTCTGTTCCACTATGTGGGTGCAAAACATGACCATTAAAAGTGGGGAGTGTGAAAAGGGTCCAGATATCCGACCACTTCCCTTCGTAGTGCAGGCCACATTTTGCGGAACCATCACTTCAGTATAGTAGAATTCAAGCTTAGAGTCTGAAGTAAAAAAGGTGAGTCGATTGACGAGGTTGCAAAGTTTCATCGACTCACATAGCTGACATATGTGTTATACTCACCCCGCTGTGTAATATTCAAGTTTAACCCGGAAAAAAGTCAAGAAATCAGACTAAGACATGACATTAGTCCGTGGAATCTCTAACTATTGATCTGAGCCGTGTAAAGAAGAAATATAGACTTCCATTCGGGGTCAGCATGAAAACTGAAATCGGTGACTGAAGACTAAGTGATATGACGGAGAATCAATCTCAGTGGTGCAGATGCATCCATATACTATCCTCATCATAGTCGTCATATCGAATTTCACTATGGTTTTATGCTCTCTTTTTCTTTTTAGGATTCTTTCTTACTTTCTATTATTTTCCTCCTTACTTCTCTTTCACTTTAAATACTTTCCACATTGATGCAGTGATGTGAGGTGTGGCAGATTGGACTGTTACGCAGTGATTTTACTGCTAACTGACTGATTGTGCATCAAGCTTTTACTTCAAACAGTTTACTAGTCGGTTATTTCGCTTCTAACATCACAAATTGGTTATTTTCTCTTACCCTTAGGAATCGGGTTTTAATTAAATATATGAAGCTATTCTTGTCCAGTTTCAAATTTGCTTCGGTAAAATGTTGTCCTAATTTTAGCACTGTTTTATGTGTTCAGGGAGCAGCCAATATGATGCATCTTCAAATTATGGGAATATGTTCTCTTTAGAATTCAGAGTAAAATTTTTCAGCTGTTTATTCAAAAATGTTACCTTGAGTGGTGTCACCACGTGGGTAACGCAGAAGTCAGGCATTGAGTTTTAGACAGGAGAGGTAAATCAATTGATGCGGTTGTGAACTTTCATCGACTGAGATTGCTGGAACACGTGTTACGCATACCTAGCCACCGTCGTCTGCCTCATCACACAATGTTAGCCGAAGTAGGTTCAGGCTGGAAAAAGGCTCAGGGCGGCCAGACTAAAATATGGAATCAATGCATGAAGACTTTGACTGTTGGTCTGAGTTATGTAGGACTATGCAGACTATCCGGTTGGGATCTGTGGGACAAGAGAAACCAGTGGTTGGGGACTTTAGCTGATATGACCGAGAACCGATGTGTGCATACATTATCCTCATCTTAACCACTATGCTTAGTGTCATCATTTTATTATTCCTCCTTCCTCTCTCTCACACGGTGGTTCCACCATGTTTTCTATAGCCTCTTCACATCTACTTTCAATGATCACGTCTCAAAGCCCTATAACATTACCACATCCATAACTTTTTTGTATCACTTTAACTAAATTGGATTCAATATAGCTACCTACTGAGTAGTGCCGCATCAGTTTGAGTACTTAAATTTTCAGCAATAGGTCTCCAGTTGATTCTAATTCAGCCTGAGTAAGTGGATAGTATCATAAACCTTCACAAAACATGTGACTGATTGACCGGTAAACAAAACAATTTCCGTGTTGAGTTGTATTTATATTTTTTAATTACGTTGGGCGTCAGCCTTTTTCTATTATTTATTTATACCTACGCATGTTTATCGTATCGTTTTATTTCACTGTTCCTTTTGTAAAGTAATGAGGATGATCTTACTCAAATGTATCAGTGGATATTGGCTCAAGCCGCAACTATTGAGGAAGATATCGGCGAGGCGGATCAAATCGCATGCTTGGATAATTTACATGCTGAATTTGCCCGGCTAATCAATTCACAGCAATCAGGTCTACCTCCTGTTCAAGATCATAAGTTTATGCGTGGTTTGCTTCAGCGACTGGCCGGTAAACATGGTCGATTTCGTGGTAGTTTATTGGGTAAACGAACAAATTTCACCGCTCGAACTGTCATCTCACCAGATCCGAATATGCGAATAGATGAGGTTTGCGTTTATTATGTATTATGTTTTAGTGCTCATCATGTAAAGGTTGAACAGTTTTCAACTTGAAATGACGAAGATAGCATTCTTCCTAATTGTAATTCATTTCTCAGACAGAGAACTGTCAGTAAATAACAGACTATGCGAGTCAATGATACAAGTACTTAGCCGCGCTACTCATCCTGCCGATATGGTTGATTTAGTGAAAAATTAGTTATTTTAGAGAAATTTCTATGTTAATCTGATTTTTCGTATAGTTTCCATCAAATCCCTGAGGAAGGAGGTATAAACAACTCACTTTTTCAATCTCAGTTTGTAAGAATACAGTGTGGATGATCTGTAGAAGTATTGTCTTATATATATATATATATATATATATATATATATATATATATATATATATATATATATATCTGTTCCACTTGAATTTTGGAGTATAATGTTCAGCTTGAACATTGTTATATTACTGATGCCATCAGGGAATTTAGTTCATTAGGAAGCCAAACGGAGTGTTCGACACTTTATATCTTCTGTTCACTTCCAAGCTTTACAGATCGTCTAAGGGTTTACGCGTCGTATCCTCAGTGACTGGTTTATAGTTTGTCTCATTCCATATATCGTATTGTTGGCTCACATACAAGAAACTCAACGTCGGTGGCATACTGTATTTGCATAGTTCACTAGTGAAACCAATATTGGTTAGTACTTTATCCTTCTCACATCCGAATGTAATACGATGCACTTATATGCAAGTTTTTATTTGCTGGTAGGGTGATATCTAAACAATAACTTTGATATTACTTATCAATCTTCTGAGGTACACTAACATTTGAGATAAAGATTAAAAATGCGTAGTATCACCTTTGGTGAATACACGAGGTTCATCACTTAGCTTTTTTGAATTAAAAACCTAATGGTTATTTGGGAGTAGTTTTTATAATAATTTTCCAGTTTTATAAAAATTTTACCGCGTTAGTGCCGTCTGAATATGAACATTGCAGACATACAAAATAAGACGACTACTTATATTTGATCACTAATATTTTGGGAGCATCATTTGCTCATGTAAGGCCTTAGGTAAGAGAGTGAACCAGTTGATGAGGTACTGAAAAAGTTCAATTCCAGTTCAACAACCATGTACACAGATTCATGTCATGGTCGGTCAACCAAACCTGTTATGTAAGCTGTTTAGACCAGCTAACTGCAGCGAGGTTCGAATGTATGACCCAGTGGTTGAAAGTTGAATGCCAAATCCAATAAACCATAGTTCCACTGCAGATTATAATGCATTCACTATCCGGGTGATTTTAGACTGGTTTTCGAATACTTGCTCTAGTTTCATTTCACGTCACAATTAAATTGAATGGCGCTAGCTTAACTGAGGCTGGGATGATCCTGATCATCCTATCGAAACGCTCTCATGTGACCCACTTTCATAGCCTCCGCCAAGCAGTACCTACTTGCTACCTTCACGTGGTGGGGGTTGGTTCCACAAGAGTAAGGGTGAAAGAGAACGTTCTACGCTGTAGCCGGATTAGTGCACACGTAGTTTACGCCCAAGAGAGTTAGAAAACCTTTATTCCAAACCAGTGGTGCACATGGACCCAGTGATCCAAGACGGAGGAGTGGCGTATAAACCTACCTTGGTCGCCGGCAACCATGTGAATGCAGCACCTCACTTCCTCCACTGCCTTGTGATTCAGACTAAAAGTCAAAGGCTTGGAGTTATGGTCCCTCAAGACAACCACCTGTTTCGGTCCGAGCATCTGAGCAGTATTATAGCCTAATTAAAATAGTTAACATTAGCAATTAAAGTTACTAAGCTATCATCGAATCTTCTTGTACGAGTCGAAATTGGTGGTGTAACGAACTGTTTTCTCAACCATCCCATTTGTCACTGCACTCTCTGGTAGCTTTCTTTGGGAATAGGTGGGTTAGGCAGAGAGGTGACCAGTGTATGAAGTGGCGCTGTGCGATGAAGAATAGGTGCATTCGGTTAGCATCTGTAGGTGCTTCATGATTCTTTGGACTGAGTCCGAGAAATCGAAAACTTCGTTGACTTGCGATGATAACAGATGTGACTCAAAATTGAAGTCACTGGTGATCGTGCTACAGTTTTCTTGTTTCATCATAGAGGGGAAAGTGAATGTTTCTTATGTTGCATCTTTGAGACTGCTTCGTAAATAACTCATTTCATCATCATCATCATCAATATCAACATAGGACCAGGAATTACTGCGTAACGATCCGAGTTGCCACAGCTCATGTCAGTACATCATGTAAAAAGGCAGTGAGGCGCAAGATGAAGATAATAGAATGCAATCAAAAGAAATATAAAGTACGAAGAGAAAGAAAATTAGAATCAGGAGATGGTGAGATTCGGTGTAGCATCGTTAAGATGAGGATAATGTGTGTATACATCTGCGCCACTTACATCGGTTCTCAGTCATATCACTTAGAGTCTCCAACCACAGGTTCCCCTTGTCCCGCGGACCCCAACTACCTAGTCTGTGTCGCCCCACAAGGCTCAAACCAACAGTCAAAGACTTCATACATTGGTGCCATGTTTTAGTCTGGCCACCTTGTGTCTTTTTCAAGCATAGACCTACTTCGGCCAACATTGTGTGACGAGGCAGTCGGTGACTAGGCATACGTAACACGTGTCCCAACCATGTCAATCGATGAAGGTTCATAACCTCGTCAACAGAATTACCTCTACTCCCTAAAACTCTATACTTAACGTCAGCATTACTCACATGGTGGGACCACGGAATACGGCCTATACTATACTACGAAGGCAACGGTGGTCAAACACTTGAAGCCTTCTCATGTCTTCCACCTTGAATGGCCATGTTTCACAGCCACAGTCAACCACTTCCCTCTCTATTGTTAGCCGCAGCACCACTGAAGACCAATCCTGGAGCAGAAATTTGCATTTGGGTGGTGAAAACCGCATCCCAAACATTCTGAAATTCCCACTCAAAGTGTTCAGAAGACTCTGCATCTTGTCAGTGTCTTCACCTAACAGGACTATATCATCTGCATATTCTAGGTCTAACGAAAATTCTCCTGTGATTAGGTCAACCTCTGTCTGATTAGTTGACGGGAGGGAAACTTCCATAAGAATATCTATGATAAAATTGAATAGGGGTGGAGACAGTGTGCATCCTTGACAGACACCACTCTATGAACATATCGCCCTGGACATCTCACCATATACTCTAACACACTCACAAGTGCTCGAGTAGAGTGCCTTTAATAAGGTGGTGTACTTACTCAGAATGCCTTTAACTGAGAGACATTGCCATAAGACTTCTCGATCAACGGAGTCAGGTGCCACCTTCAGATCGAGAAATACAGCTATTTTCGGGCGTCTGTAAGCATGCCTGTGTTCCAGGACCTGGCGCAGTGTGAATATTTGGTCGACACACCCACGACCAGGTCTAAATCCTGCCTAGTTTTCTTAGGTTTGCTGTTCTCGAGCTCCACTCAGACGTCGATGAATTATAGAACCTAGAATTTTGGATACTATGTTTGTCAGGCTGACTCCTCTGTTGTTATCACAAGAGGACTTCTCGCCTTTCTTGAAGACGAGTAATCAGTGATTTAGACCAATCAGAGGGGATCGTATTTGGTTTCCATATACTGGCTAACACTTCCGTTAACCTGACTAAGAGCACCTTACTACCATTCCTGTATACCTCTTAAGTTAGTCCGTCTGGTCCTGCTGCCGTTCCTCGTCTCAGGTTAACTACTGCTTTTTCTACTTGTGTTGGAGGGGCCTATCTTAGTGTTCCATTCAGGATTCGACTGAATAACGGGCAACGCAATGGTGGCTGGAGTCTAGTTAAACTGTTCCTCGAAGTGTTCTATCCATCGTTCCAGTCGTCTCCCCCTGCGAGTGAATCGCAGATCCGCCCTTCTCCGCTATAGCCTCATCAGTTGTTGTTGGCCTTCCCCCCCCCTCCCCCCCCAGTTTCCTTAACAAGTTTCATTACACATCAGTATCAATCGCGATTTACCATTGTGTTTGATAGCAGATAATTGAAAAGGTCCAAAACTGCCAGATCAAGATATATAGGATCAGGGTCATTCACTCAGTCTTTTAACTCAAACCGTGTAGAAAAATTCAGATTGTTACTGCGTCTTTGCAAAACCTAACTGAACTGACTTGAAATGGATCACAGTAACGTGGAATCGTTTTCCACCTTACTCGTCACTTTTGAATTTTGATATCTACTTCGTTTTATTCAATCTTCTCCAAGTTTGTTCACTCAAATTCATAGAATACTGTAGTAGATTCGTCGTTGTTCTGGTTTAGGGTAAGTCTAACCTAATGAACAAACGAATCTGGCTAATTATGTATGTAAAATCTTAGCCTGATTTATGTGAAGATGGATGCGTGTACAAATAACCTTCAGATTTCTTCCCTAATGATCTCTCAGTTCCTATGTAATGGAAAAGATAGTTATATAACAAAAAGTATACTTACAACGTCTACAATATATACAAATTACAAGGTTTATATATATTACAATGGCGGAGGCTATTTCCAGGCCTGGTAGATTTAAACTGCTGGATGTTATTACTCTGAATAATGGATGCAAGCATAGAGTCAAAACTTAAGCTTCATTCATTTTCAGCCAAACATAAGAGAATTATCTGCATCCCTCATAAAAGTGGCAGTGGTTTACAACCTTTCTGTCATTGTGGTGTGCTTGTCTAGTTACTTTATTTTATGCTATATTGTTCAATATTTGCACAACATGAATAATAGTTTTATTTCTTTCTCATGTTGACTACTTTCACACTGAAATCTTTAAGTTGTGGTGTACATTTCATATCCATTTTAGGTATGCATTCCAGTCCACTGTGCTACATTGCTTACTTACCCTGAACACGTGACTGAATTCAATTTATCCTTCCTTCGAACACTTGTTCTAAATGGGCCTAATAATTACCCAGGTGCTCTGTTTGTCAGTTATAAACTACGTGGTGAGAAAAAACGTCAAGCCGAGGCCACTGGTGCCTCTGATACAGTGAAGCGTTTCTTGGCATCTGAACGTGCGCGTGAAGATGTTGCAAGATATTTACAGCCAGGTGATGTAGTTGAAAGACACTTACTCGATGATGATATTGTACTCTTTAATCGTCAACCTTCACTGCATCGTGTGTCTATTCAGGCATTTAGAGTAAGTGAAGTTCACCTTTTTAACATTAAAATATTCCTTCTTTTATGCTTTTAAATATATCTCATTGCTAGTAAAATTATTTCAGCCTATAAAACCCATCTGTGTTGCTTGATAAAACAGGTATTTTTAAAAATGACCTAGACTGCATATGCCCTTTCGTGACTAATGTAGAACCAAGCCGCTTTGATTACTTGGCAATTAATGACAAGTATCTTCTTTTCCCCCTTTGGTATAGACCATACTGTCCCCTGTACTTAAGGATGTGGGAATTGAACCTAACATCCGTTACCTTACCTTCTGCCGTACTAGTTTGTGACGATTACTATTTGGTTAGCAGGATACTTGCACTTTAAGCTGAAACTTAATGTACTATAATGTATTCTGTATGGGTTAACTGTGGAATAATTAATCTCATGTTGGTGTATGACACTTATTCTCTGTACTATTTTTTTTAGATCTTTTTATTAACGTACAGAAAAAGAACATTCAATGTTGCTGCATGCTGTCATAAACTCTTTGATTTTACTGATAATTATTTCAGGCTGTTGTGAAACCCTTTCGAACTTTTCGTTTCAATCCGTGCTGTTGTACACCATTCAATGCAGATTTCGATGGTGATGAAATGAATATCCACCTTCCTCAGACTGAAGCAGCACGCGCCGAAGCAAAACACCTTATGCTAGTACGTTTTCATTCATTACTGTCCTTACTATCATTGTCATTATTATAACTAGAAAATTAATATCGATGCAAATGTATGCATACCGAGACACCGCCTACCTTGATGTAAACTATCCTAGGAGGAGCTGGATCAGGTTGGAAAAGGGTTCAGGATGACCAGACTAAAGTCTTTGACTGTCGGTCTAAGCCTTGTTGGGAGATATAGACTACCTGGCTAGAGCCCGATACAAAGGAATTAATGGTTGAGAATTGACTCTTGATGACACGGCTGAAAATCGGTCACAATGGTACAGATGTTTTGACTTCTTGACATCTAAAGCTTGAATATTCGTACTGTTTGTTATCTTCAAATTGTTTATTCTCTCACACTGCTTTGTCTGCTTTGATATCACTTTTTTCTCTCCACTTGTTCCTTGTGTACTACTGTAAAGTGCGGCAACTTGGACTGATGTACCTATATACAAGGCTATAGGCTGATTCTGTCTATCTGTCTGTCATGGCTTAGAAATATTCTTAGTCTAGGACTGATTAGACCTCTATGCATGCGTACGGTTATGGCGTTTTTGACAAAATTTCGAAATAATTAACTATTTTCATTGCCATCTGTTTGATAAAATTGTAAATTTCTGTCGATTTTGAAAATTTTTTATGTATGCTCACTCTTCTTCTTGCAACCAGGATCTTTGTTTCCATATGGAAGTTGATAGTTCGAATCTCGTCCCAGTTCAGGTGTTCATTTTTACCTTCAATTGTCACCCAGTACCAATAAAAGTCTGCTAAACCATGGTTATCTCAGATAATCAAACTGATATTTTGATATGATTTCTCCTAGTTAGGGAAGATCACAGTCAGTCATATTTAGGATTCTAAGACTGAAAGTGCTACCTTGTAATCTTTGAATAGTGGGAGGCATTTATAGTTCCTATACGAACCTATTTTCATCTTTACTCACTGTAAGGATATGCATTTTGTGGCATAGAAAAAGAACTTTTGTTGAATGGTTAACGTGCTCACGTCGACTTCACTCAGATCGATTCTGAAAAGTATTCACAATGTCTGACTACATTGAAGAAGTATGTAAATGTTGTAATACTGATATACGGTTTTCTAATCTTATTTGGTATTTCCATGATATCTGTCGTAATAAATCCAACTTTTTTCCATGCTGAACATATGAAGATGATCATATTTAATTCATAAAAGATAAAATGCTTCGTTGTCTCATGATCTTATCTGGAACTTGTGAGTTTGGTTAAGATGAGAAGTGACTACAGTTAGGTTGATGGTCGTCTTTCGGAGACTATGGCTACAACTTTAAACTAAATAGTTATGATAAAACATCAAATCATCGAATTAAATAGGTAAGTTGATACCTGCTTTATTATATTGCGTCAGATTGTTCTCTCATATTCAGAATATGTGGCGTCCGTATCATATTCATAGCTCAATGGTTACGTGCTAACCATAGAACCTGAAGGTTCTGGGTTCGGTCCCTGGCGAGGTTATGGGCGCACTCTACTTGAGGAGCCCCCATACTAAGAAGAAAAAACTGTCTAGTACTCCCAGGTTTCCAATGGTTCTTCAACAGATGTCGCTCCATAGTGAATACTAACGTGAGATCAATAAATAAATTCCCACAAACCTCCAAATTGAATTTCTTAGTCTTAAATCATACTTTCTTCATGCGTGTTATAGTAGGTAAACCTCCTGACAGTTCTGCAATGTATAATAATGAATAACATGAATGCTTGTTGACCACCATTTATTGCGCAATTCAGCTATCTGAGCTAAATCAACCAGAGTACATCATTTCCAAGCCTTTTGTTTGAAGCGTTATCAATGGTATGAGACAGACAATACTCTATGTTTCAAGTATTGTAGCTTCTGTAGGAAAACGCATTAAAACTTCGCTTCTCATCTGCACGTACATATTTCTATCACTCTTATCTCTGACTGTAAATTTTGCTGTCTGTCTGTGTTGATCATTGAATTAAGGTCAGTGGGCGCCACTTCAGACAATGTCTTTATTTGTTGCCCAGAAATAGGTGGTTGATAGTGATTATAGCAGGTGATTATCATTATCCTACCGTTCAACTCGGGTTCCAAAAGTATCTTTCTGCCTTGCTGAGGATTTGCACTTGTACATTGAAATCATCCGCTGTGACAACCATATCTGAACATTTGGCTTAGAGTAGTAGGCTAAACAGCTTTCAGCAGAAAGTCTCCTTCACTTCATCTGAATTGCAGTCAGTGGATGTGTAAACATAGATTACAAAGAGATAACAGCACATTTTACTGTTCTTAGTTCTCACTGCACCGTTCAGTCGAACAGCACACAGGTAACTGTCAGTTGGATACAGTCAAGTAGTTCAGTTCAAGCTTTACCTACATGTGCAAGAGCACAAGATCTAACTACTGAATATTCAGAACCTTGGAGGGTGAATTCTAGAGAATTACCTAGTTGTCTGGATGAGGTTAAGAGAATAATCACACTTAGATCCTGTATGTATATCTCACAAACGCTATATATTTGTCTAACCGGACTTGATAGACTTTGGCTAGTGAAGCTTGTTGTCCTACTTATTGGATGGTGTAGACACAGAGCTCCAATAAACATTTCGGGGGGCGGTTTTAGGAGACCAGAGACTCAGTTTTGTGAACTCGAATTCTTATCAGAGGCTGCAGAGCTGGATGAAATTAAAGATCATGTGAGAATATTGACCGAAGAATGTGAGGAAAAATTAGAAGGCAAAGATGTGCAAGATAATGGTCTGAAGAAAATCGAGTTCTGACAGAATTGTGAGGGGAGTTGATACTCCCCGGCTGCCCATGCCTTCCTGAGATACCTGAAAAAGAAATGTTATTAGTAGTGGCGGTGCGTGACCGTAGAGCTCAAGAGATACGTGTTTGATGCCGTTCACATACAGCCTTTTTAGAAGTTTTTGGATTACCTTGGATTGGTTTGAACACAAATGGAAATTCACACCGCTATCTCTGGAAGACTACAGGGTAGAGGGCAACGTGCTACTTTCGGGACCTATCTCTTCCTATAAGAGAGGTAACATCAGCATCACACTTCTGGTCGTCTACGGGCAACACCTTACATCCTGTCCACTCAGCTGTACGACTTGATCCTGGGACCCTCATAATAGCCTAGCTATTTACACCACAACCTTAAGTTTCTTCGTCTCACCACTATCCAACAGGCCTTCGTAGCACGGTAAGATCCGAAGGAACAATTCTTTTCAGCCAATGTAGCTCGTTGGATCATCGTGATAGGTAAGCGTCATCATTACGTCTAGGTTGCATGCTCGAAATTTACTTGGCCTACGATATCATTTAATTCCCATCTAACGAGGTATAGATCGAAACCAATGTTTAGTTGTTGACTTGTGTGTTCCTCTTAATGACATCTAATTCACAATACTTCCGACTTATTTGATTTCCTACATGACTTAACCCGTTTACAATAAACATTTGTCCGCTCTCTAATGTAGTCATCTAGTTGCCTAATTAGATTTTTCCTTTTCTCTTCTTGACAGTCTCTTAAGAATATTGTTAGCCCTAAAAATGGTGAGCCGTTGATTTCACCAATTCAGGATTTGATCACTGCAACACATTTATTAACCCTGAAGGATGTTTTCCTTAATCGTGATCAAGCTTTTGGTTTAGCTGCTCAACTGTTGGCTGGCAATCATTTAGGCCGACCATTAGGTCTACCAAAACCAGCTATATTATGGGTGAGTTATTCTTTTGCAGCAATAAAATGCAATGCTTTTGTATAAATTATTGTCATTTTTTTTGCATAATTATATCCAACGATAAAATGAAATGGCCGTCTGTTTGTCTCTGTGTGTACAACCATTGTAGAACACCCTTCGAGAAGCATTCTTGGACCTTTTTGACTAACTCGTATGTTTCTTTCTAAAGATATCTTGTGAAATGTCATTTTAGACGTCGAATTGTCAATAAGCGTCAAACTGCTGTTTCATACTGATGTGGATGTTCGTGTTTTATATGTTTGGAACTTTGAGTTGTATTCATTGAAATGAAGGGAGAAACAAAAAAGAAAAATCTCTTCTTCAATTTGAACTCATGTATATTGCTCGAGTTGTGGAACTGTTTGTTGTCAACAAATATACCTTATTAAAGAGTTTGGTAATATCAGTTTCGTTTACCTTCTTATTTTAGCCTGTCTCTTTATGGACTGGTAAACAAATATTCGGTCTTATTCTTTCACAACACCCTTCAACTGGTATTAAAGTTAACCTTCGAGTGGCAACAAAATCAATGTATTCATCAAGAGGTGAAGAAATGTGTCCAAATGATGGCTGTAAGTAAATTCAAAGTGAGAATTATCAGTCTGTCTTACAGTTTATTGCATGTAATGGGAAATTTCTTCGGTACCACCATATAGAAATGCTTTTTTTTACCCATCTTTTCACAAAACTTTTTCATATCATTTCGTCGTAGTTAGATAATTACTGATAAATGCTGAACACAAACGTCGTGCTATTTGTCTTCCATTACACAGGCATATCTGCAACTGAAACGACTGACTGACTGACTGAATGAGAACTGACAAAATTAACGTTAAACCTCGCACGTAGGTGCATTGGATCAAGTCGCCACACTTCACACTAGCATACAAAGAGCACGTGGATAGAAAAAAAACTGATATCAAAGTAGACAAAGTTGTGTAAGAGAATAAAAAATCCTAAGATAACGGTTCGTGTGAATAGTCAAACCCTAGAAGATGTCAAGAAGTGAATACATCTGCTTTATTGTGACTGATTTTCAGCCATGTCACTAAGAGTCAATCCTTAACTAATGATTCCTTTTGTCTCCAGGACCCTAATGAGGCATGCTACATCTCCTCAGACCAACCAAGAGGCTTAATCAAATGGTGCTAGGTCTTGGTCTGATCACTGTGAACTCTCTTCCAACCTAATCCTACTCCGTCTAGAGTGGCACGTCTTTCCTAGAACCTTTCATCTGACTTCAACATTGCTCACACACTGATTCCACCATACGTGAGCAATGCTACGAAGACAACAGTGATCAAAATCCTGTAACTGCTTGCAACGGCTATCTTGCAAAAGTACAAAGGACAGAACAAACGGCAGCGCAGTATACTCGTCCTTTGATAGATAGTCGGATATCTCTTATCTTTCAGTTTCAGTTGCCGTGTCTCACAATCGTAAAATAGGATAGAGTGGACTGCTGCATCGCTTAATTGTTTTCATAGGTGTTTGGATATCTCACCGGTGCCAGAGGTGGTGTAAGTCGGCAATGGCCGAACGGCTTTTTATATGTATAGACCGAGATTTCCTCAGCAACCAACCTATTCGGCAAGATAATCATTAACATGAAAGTCTTTTCGCAGAAACCCGATGATACAAACTCAGTTTTGTTTGGTTAAATATTCGTTTGACAGTATAATCAGAGGCTTTAGGTGGTATGGCTCAGAATTAGTCATAGTGACATTCACAATTTTTTTCATCTTAAGCTTCATATCCCATTTCTTTGTTTTCTCTATCCCCTCTTGTCTTCTCATGTCTGCTTATGACTTTTGACCACATTTTATGTTTCCCTGTCTTTTGTCTTTTTTCTTTCTTTTTGTGTCTTGATATGCTCATCTGAGGTGTACCAACTTAAGCCATTACGCAGTGATATCGGGTTCTATGTTGATGTCAGCTGAATGATTAACCGCTTCCGCTAGCTCATATTTGAGTGAACTAGCTTCTGAAGTGCCCGAATTCTCAACCTCCCCGACTTAGTGTGACACTGTTTTATTTCATGCAGTCGTTTGCAACCTAGATGTTTGTTCGTGAAAGATTTTAGTCGCTAGCAGGATTTATTTTCTATAACATTCTGTCTTAAGGAGGATCAAGCGATGAATGGTTTTGTCACTGAAAATTAACTGCACACATTTTTGGCAGTATTGAATAGCGGTTTCTGTCCATTATCGTGATTACAATTCGGACCCCTTAAATTGGATCTGGTTCAGCGAGTGATACAACGAAGCGTGAAATTCTTGCCTGCTTCGTGCATACACAGTCTAGACGTTCGACTCTACACCATTATATCTAAGTATTGCTTTGATGAGTTATGTGGGTTTGAATCTCTTGAGAATTGTCAGTCTGATTGAGATGGTAACTGGTTCTGATGTATGCGAAGCCCAGGTGTCCTTTAAATTACTTATTGTCGTTCAAAGACATTGAGTTATGAACGAGTTCACATAGTATTATACCTTATTAATTAATGGAGCTGGATAGTGAGTGTATAGTCAACACTCACGCAGTAGGTGTGTGATCTAAGCCATGTGTATAACGCAAAAAAACGCACTCAGCCAACTTGAGCACATTCGTACAGTAACCAATAAGCTACACCTGTTATGTGAAGGCTAGTGATACCACTACCTGGTTACCCACACCTCAGTGGGTGGAGCGGGGTTCAAACCCAAAATCCATTAGTTGAATGTCATCTCCCTAAATCACTGGGCCACAGTTCCACAACCATGTGAATAACCTTCTGTGTATCCACTCATGTTAAACGCATTTGACTAATATGGTACCCTTTTATTATTATTAAATATATTTGGCTTATATAAAAAAATTTTTATTGCATATGTTTTTTTAGTTGTCCTAATTCGAAATAGTGAACTTCTTGCAGGATGTATGGATAAAAAGCTTCTTGGGGGTGGTAGTAAATCAAGCATATTTTATACACTTCTTCGAGATTATGGAAGAGAAGCTTGTGCAGATGCTATGTGGCGCTTAGGCAGAATTGCCTTATTCTTTCTTGCTCATCGAGGTTTTTCAATTGGACTCGGCGAAGTAATGCCTAGTTCAGAGCTTGTTGCGTCGAAAACTGCAGTAATTAACCGTGGGTAGGTTTTGCATGTTTTCATTTGATATAGGTATTATCTAGTCTGATACTCTTCAGAATTTTGTGTGTAAATCATTATCATCGTGATTGTTGATAGTGTCTTTTTTGTACATATAGTTGGTTAAATTGTCTGACCCTATTTCAAAATATACAACTAGACAAAATGAGTAGCTGGAAACTATTCGTACATATCTGCAAATATCGTCAGACAGATCCATATAAGCGCTGGACAATTGTTTCTTTCTTTTGTGACTGAGTTTATAAGTGGTGTAAGATCATAGAGGTAAGTTCTTGAGACTGACTGGATCTGGCATAAGTCATTGAGAAGAACTACCGTACTATAAATGGGACGGATGAATTACAGATTATTTATGGATATAACTTTTAATGTTGAACATTAGAGATCTGTTGAGCAAACTCGTATGGGTTAATCCCCGATTAGCTCCATCCCACATATGCGGCACAGCCACCTGGTGTTTAAATGACTATTCTGGTTATTGGAATCTTCAGGTCGATATCATCTATTTCTAGCTACTCACATTTTTCAGAAGCAAGTATCGTTGGTTCAGGATACTCGAAATCTTGGCTAGTTGGTTGCCGATGAGAACTTCGTTGACTTCGTAGCTGTGGGAAATGTCATCAATGACCGTTCATTTTGTAATTAACGCTTTAATCTTTCAGTCGGTTCCATTTTCGTAGAAAACTGACCACTGACAGATTAGTTTGAAAGCCTTACTTTTCCGCGTGAAATTATTCAAGCATTTTAAAATTGTTGTATGATTAATTTGTCTACTACCCAAATATTTAATACTTCTATCTTCATTTATGTGTTTCAGCTTTGCTACTTGCGATAGCTATATCAAACAATATCAGATGAATACTCTGGTCTGCAATCCGGGATGCAGCATGGAAGATACACTTGAAGTAAATTACTGGTTATTGAAGTTAACGTTTTTATTCAGACTTCGGGGTTGTTTCTGTCACAAAATAACATTTTTGAAGGATCTTATCAACCACATGCAGGTCCTTGTATTCGGGTTCACGTTACGCTAAGCGCGTAGAAGAAAATAGGGCTACTTCGTTGCTTAGACCATAGTTGGTAGAATGGGCTTAAATTCATAACCCAGTGGCTATGAGCTAGGGTATCTAGACTAGTGTGTTGTAATTTAACTTTTCAGTTGGTGACTAAATACGGTTTCAAAGTCCAACTTCACACTATCGATTCGCTGATAAACCCTTTTTTCGGTCAAACGTAAATGCAGCTATCTCCCATTCTGTATGAAGTGCTGATGTAGGAAACAAGAAGATGGAGATGAAGGAAGGAATGTTTATTATTAACATGTGGTACAGTAGTTGTTAAATATGGTACACCTTGCACTAAGACAGTCATTTGCAAAATGTGCTTCATTTCTTTTTCTGCTTGTATCTCGATTTACTCTTAATACGCTCACTTTGTCTCTTGCTTTTCTCTGGGCAGAATCTTTATCCATTGCTGGTAATTCCCTATGATTTCTGCTGCCCCTCTCAACACATACTACTTATGTCCATTCTTATCAGCAGCACCCACTACACTGGGAGTAAGTTTTCACTTCCTATATTAGAAAATACAACTAATGGAGGTGAATCTATCCCGAAAATACTTGTTACTTCTTTGTAGTAACTTGATCAAGGTGAAGACATTTTTTGTGAAGAACCAGCACTAGTTTAATAAAACGCTGTTCATTTAATAAAACCTAAGTAACTCATCCTGTTGGGAGATTTTATCCCGGCATTTTTATGTATTAATTTTGGGGTGTTTTGATTGGACAGTTGGGTTCATTTCTCTTACTTGGTATTTCTAATTTCTCGCCAATCTATGAAATGCCATAGCTTCCATTCAGTCTCGTACATAGATATTTATCTTCATTTTCGATTTGGATATTTCGAAAAGCTATAGTCATCAACAATGAAGCAGTTGCAGCTGCAGCTGCTGAGTGAACTCGCGAAGCTTAACCACCAGATTTAGCTAGTTCCGGAGTTTGATTAAATAGTTGCGCACAACCTGCTCGGCGTCATTTCAAAGGAGATTACTTATGCACTGTTTAGGAGTCTCTAACTGGAATAAAAACAGGCAGAACCAACGTGAGACCTCACACATAAAAGCATCGTTTCGGGTTGCTACACCTCACATTAGTATACAAAGGCAGCTGGATAAAAAAAGAGTGATATCAAAACAGACAAAGTTGTGTAAGAGAATAAAAAAACTTAAGATAGCGGTTAGTGTGAGTTAGTCAAGGAGTGAATACATCTGCGCCACTGTGACTGATTCTCAGCCTTGTCATCAAGAGTCAATCCTTAACCAATAATTCCTTTTGTCTCCACCACCCCAACCTAGCAATCTACGTCTCTTCAAACGACTCAGACCAACGGTCAGAGACCATCCTGAACCCTCTTCCAACTTAATCTAACTTCCCCTAGCATGGCACGTCGAAGTATGCGGTGGTTGAGCATGCGCATGAGCCACCTCAGCCGACTCACGTTCACAACCACACCAATCCACATGCCTGTCTTCCCTAGTACCACTCGCCTAACTTCAACATTCCTCACACACTCATTCCACCAAACGTGAGTACTGCTACAAAAACACCTACCATCAAACACTTGCAATCGCTTCATATCTTCTACTATTAACGGGCATGTCTCACAGTCGTACAACAGAACAGAACAAACTGCAGCACAATATACTCTTCCTTTGATAGACAGATATCTCACAGAGGTCACAGATGACGCAAGTTAGCAAATGCAAGACGGAGCTTCTATATGCGAGCTGAGACTTCGTCAGCAAATAACCCATTCGGACTTGTGCAACTCCCCAATTAAGTGAAGTGGTCGACAAATTCCATCACTTTACTTTCGATCATTAAAGTGTGAGTGGTTGCAGACGACCATTCATGGAGCATCATCTTACATTTCACAGGTTCCACCGAAACCCATGCTAGCCAAGCATACTCAGAATTCCGTTCAACGTGTCCAAAAGACCCTGCATTTTATCAGCGTCTTCATCTAGCAGGACTATATCATCTGCATACTCCAAGACAACCAGATGCCCTGCAGGGAGTAGGTCAACCCCTGTGAAGTCAGACGTAATGTCTATTAGTACGCCTGTGGTGAAGTTAAATACGAACGATGATAGTGGACATCCCTGGCCTACACCACTAGTTGTCCCCAATTCAAATAACGACTCTCGATAAGTCCTTACACGGTTGCGTGAGTTCCAGTCGAGAGCTTTGATTAGCGTTATATACTTGCTCGGTACTCTTTTCATAGTCACATACTCACACAATACCACATGGGTGATAGGGTCAAATGTTGCCTCCATATCAACAAATATGGCAAATGTCGGCCACTAATTGTTTAGTATGCCAGAACCTGTCGAAGAGAAACATATAATGGATCCTATCTAATACTTCCTGACTTTTAGTGATTTTTCAACTGGTGTCACTTTATAATCGAAACTTACTTTTGTTTAACTATCGTTGTTTGTGTACTGTTTACTTTATTTTCCAGTCCAATTTGAGTCAAGAACTGTCGAAAATTCGTGATGAAGCAGGTGCAGCTTGTAAACGTCAACTTCATCCATCTAACTCACCGCTTGTAATGGCTCAGTCAGGGTCAAAAGGTGTGCTAAATATTTCTATTTGGTATTGATAAGTGTTCAAAGAAAATGTGTGTGCTTTCTATGCCTAACGTTAAAAGCAAAAGTCTTCTCAACTAGCTTACCTACTCTTTTCTTTCAGGTTCCTTCTTGAATATATCGCAAATGATTGCTTGTGTTGGTCAACAAGTTATTGGTGGGAAACGTGTTCCTGATGTGATTAACGGGCGTAGTCTGATTCATTTCCCTCCAGGATCACGAACTCCTGAAGCAAAAGGTTTTGTAGGGAACAGTTTCTATTCGGGTCTTTCACCATCGGAATTCTTCTTTCATGCAATGAGTGGTCGTGAAGGTCTGACTGATACCGCTGTGAAGACTGCAGATACAGGTTATATGCAAAGAAGGCTAGTTAAGGTATGTTTGTATTTTTTTTATATACTCTGGTTTCGAATCGTGATCAATAAAGCCTTTTATCGCAATTTCTTATTAGTAGAAAAAGTCTTGAAAATAATAGGCTATCAACAAACTGTTTCATTCTACCACGGGGCCTCTCAATCGTACCTGTATATCTCTTTACAGACGGAATCCAGGTCACTGATGACTATAGAGAACGAACAAAATTTTCAGTATTTTCCGTTATTCAGGCAAATATACTTTTTAACCTAACCACTTAGCCTGTCTTGTATCTGCAATTTAAATTCCATATTTTCACTCCTTACTGGCAAATATCTCTTGGACCTTTTTCTCACTCCCCCTCATAGCTTTGAGTTACTTACTGAACTGAATTCAAGATGAGTAATTCGCTATTCTTTTACTAGCTTCAGTTTTTGTAAAAAAATTCTCACTCATGCCTTTGTACATATAAGTAACAAGTTCACAACACAATAAACTGCACATACTCAGCGAAAACAATGATACTAAAAAAAATGCAATAATATGCTTTACAGTTAGTTGATGCATCACTCCTGAACGGTAAACGATTCATGGGACAATTAACGGATAACAGACAAGCTTATGAAATTGGTTATAAATTGTTTTGGCAATATTGTTGATGGGACGTGGCTAGCAGTGGAATCCGGGACGCACGTTTCGTCCTATTTGGGACTCATCAGCCGTATGTACTTGCCTCCCAGTGAGCGATGTTGTTCCTACCTAGTCTCGAACCCGGGACCAATCACTTTAAACCCCAGAACGTTTATCCACTTGGCCACCGAGACATGATAGCCACTTGTGTTACGAGTGGAGTTGTTACCTCGTTGCTTGTATTATCGCGCTGTTGAGTGGATCAAATAGGTCGGTCTGTCTTGGTATGTACGGGCTCCTGTACAGATACTTCGATATTGCATGTCTTGGTAATACCTGTTTGGCAAATGAGGTATAATCCATCGAAATATTACTGTTGGAGTTTTGATAAAAAAATATTTGTCCATTTCTCCTACTATGTTGATTTGGATGGATGGATACCTAGTTTAATGGAAGTTGATTCACCAACATCGATTTATGTGGTGAATTATCTGAACATGTAAAGAAATTCTCCAAATCCGATAGTCGAATATACATTAGCTTCTGGGATATTTTATTCGGACATGTCATAATTGATGTGATGTATCTTTTTCTGTCATATGTTACTGTGTTACATCTTTTGGGTAAAGTGCTCATTGGTGACTAGCCTCGAGAGGTGATTCCTGAAGTTCCAATAAGAAGTCGTGACCGGTTGGGGTAACCGTGGGCCCGTGAGGACAAATACTCAATGATGACATTGGGTGATGGTCGCACTATGTCGTAAACTGACAGAAGTTAGAAATATGGACCACTGGATGGCGACCCAGTGGCTCAGTTGTAACGCGCTGGCCACGGAACCCGGAGGTTCTGGGTTCGATCCCTGGGAGGTGGGGTCATGGGTGCGTACTGCTGAGGAGCCCTGTAGTTGAAGGAAACAGCCACCAAATGCTCCCAGGCCCCCACTGTTCCTCCAACCGATGTCAGTTCATGATAAATACTAACTTGAAAAGAAGTGAATACTGCTGAAAAACTCCGACTCACTTTTGCAATTACCGGGTGCCCTTCCAGATAAAGCTTGCGGTGTGCAATGTATTTTTCAGAAAGATTATAAGTGATAACAAAAATAAGGTTTATTTTCTTCTGAATCTTTGCTTAGTAGGTGAAGGTTATATACACACAGATATTGATTGGTTCTAACAACTGTCTGATATTACTGGAATTCCTATGGTTCAAGACCATTGTTCTTCGTACTGTTCACGTTTGTTTTATTGGATTCTTTGAGAGGTGCCTGTTGAACTGATTAAAGATTTAATTCTTCCCGTTACACTTGCATATCTCGTAAATGATGCCAGACGTTTTAGTACTTTGAGATATTGTCCTTCCTAGTTCACACTTTTAATGAAATAAATGCATTACTTTGATTTACGGGCCCCTGTAAGCCATAGGTTACCTGTTAAGTCAATGTCGTCTAAAGATATCTAAGGTAACGGAATCTAGTATCGCACCTTGTTCCGTTAGGCTTTATTTGCTACAGTGTTCATAATTATGGTGTTTAGAAAATCAATCTTAATTCCATGCCTACTTGCTTATCTGTGCACTAGACAACAAGTCAAACCTTTTGTGCATGTGTTTGGTGGCAGTATTTGGATTTTAAACTTCAACAGGCTGACAAGAATGCAAAACTGCTACCAGCTGGTTAAAAGTTGAGTCCTTAGACTAATGAAATGCAGTCCCGTTTAGAAAGTTTTTCAGCAACTAAATAATGGTTTTACTCAATGTTTTTTGTACGTTCACCTGAAGCATTACCACTTTCTACTGTGTAATTTTCTCAGTTAAATAGCATAACGACTGAATTGCTAACATTTATCTAGTATTTTTGTTGATTAGAGGCAATTAACAGGAAACACTAGACCTAGGCTTCGTGCTTGTTGGCACTCGTCACCTAGGTGTCTCCAACCTCAAGGGAACTGATGTCCCCTGTGAGATTCGAACCCACATCATCCAGTGATGTAGTCAGCGACTTTACCACTTAATTATTCGAGCTGCGACAGACCTCCCGTTGGACTGGACTGCATACATTGATTGACTAGTCACTGGCGAGCAACCAATCTTATGTTGTCTGGCCCTGAATGCAAACCGAATCGTCCAGTATAATTGGTTATATTTCGCTTTTTCGTCTCTGAAAACAACGGCAATCAACACAAATTGTTGACAGTGTTTGTTTTCTGTAAAACGTTCGTGATTGGAAACTTTTTCAGAGTAGGATTTTCACCTCTTTTTCGATTTCTATATCCCCTTACCAAGATTCAGTGTTTGTTTAAATTTGTTCAAAAAATAACCTGCAACCTTACAGTTTTCAGTCAGTCAATCATATCATCAATCACAAGCTAATATCGGTTTCTATTTACCGATAAATGAATTTACTGTAATCTTTATACATTTATGTGCGAAAGTGTACGAAAGTATGCAATCCAAGGCGTAGAATCCACAATAACCATACTAAAAACTCATCTCGCTGTGTAACTTTACCAAACATTCAATTCTATCTGCTATATGCATAACTGTAAACGTATGATGAGTGTTTTAAAGACAATAATTTCGCTCGTCTTTTGTCTCATTTATGTAAGCATATAAATGTGGAAAATAGATTGTGTCTGAAAAGTTTTCTTGTAACTAATACCTTTACACTATGATACATCTGCTAAACAAACTAAAAGTGTTGTGTAAGTTTTGAAATTCGGTCATAAGTGTAAGTGGATCCCTAGGCATTTCTTTAAAAAGCGAAACATTTTCAAATTGGTTCAAATGTTATGTAGAATGTTTATAAACTTTGAGAGCCATTGGTTTGCCATTTAAGGGTAATCTTCGGATCATATGCTGATCGATTTACCCTCAAAGTTTACTGAATCTTTCGACTAAGTTTTGTGTTATGTCCTTGTGTGTGTGAGAGAGAGAGAGCGAGTGAGTGAGTGGACAATTGAACGATAACCTTTAGATTCCACTTTTGATGGTCTCTCAGTTCCTTGGTATATAGAAAAAGGTGGTAAGATAACAGAGGGTATATTGCAACGTCAAAATGCCAGCGGTTTATATATATTTACAATGACCTTGATTATTTCTAGGCCTTTTTAAAATAGCATCCCCTATCAATTTTCTCCTCTTCAACCAATCCGGTATCTACACGTTGGTTTACATGCTTTTTCTCGAAAGTGCGAAGTATGCTGATTAGTTGTAAATGACTTCAAGGATCTTCGTTACCTAATTGCACACTACATCAGTTTACCCTTTTATGCACGTATTGTTCAATATGTACACTTTACACTACATTCGATTCATGCTACTCACTTTTATTTTATTCACTAACTTCAGTTTCTTGAAGATTTGGCAGTAGCCTACGATGATACTGTACGTGATAGTCGGGGCGATATAATTCAATTTCGTTATGGTTCAGATGGTTTAGACCCTTTGGAAATGGAGACAGATACATTACCAGTGAATTTTGCCAAAGAAATGGAACATATAAGAGTAAAGCATTTTGTTTGCCTTTTAATCTTACTTTCTTTCTGATTAGGCTAGTTATGAGTGTTCAGATGAAGTTGGAATGTCTGCTGATCAAATAGAATTAGCATTAGAATTAGTTTTTCAACTGGATGCATTCAATCGTTTGGATAGTTATATATGTTTAGCAATCAAGTGAGTTATGTTGAATATAATTTGTCTTGTTTACCCGTAACACAACCTAATTTCATTTCAAGTTAACTTGACGAAGAGGCTATTACAACACTTCAAGATGGTGTACATTAAAAAGTACAAATGTTTACTAAAAACAACAGTGTTTACATTTGCACTACTGATACTGTCTACTGACCACCACCTAAAAGCAATAAGTTTTATTATTTTGAATAGTTTATTGTATCAGTCTGCGTACTCCTACATAAATCGAAAATACAGATGAAATGTTTCAGCCTAATATGACATGCTTCTCTGGAGACCTTCAATCTAATTTCACTTACCGTTAATCACCTTATTCAATGCTCACTCTTTGTAGTTGCGGCGCAAAACAAGCACTGACTAGTGATTTGGATTCCCAACTTAGTTACTTCCTACTTCATGATTTCACTGCATTCAGTTCATGCTTTGATGACATTGATTATTGAATAGTAACAACTTCCTATCATTCTTTCATATCACAAACCAATGAATTCAGCAGTTTCTCGTTCCTTTCTCCTCTCTTTTACTACTTTTGACCAATTTTTATTTCTATTTCCTTCACCTTTAATCTTACTACTTTCTTACTTGTTGTGCTGGTATGAGGTGTGGCAAGTTGGAATGTTACGCAGTAATGCTTAGTCCTATGCTGAAATTGAGTGATTGATTAACTGATTGAAATCACAACAAATACGTTTCAAAGTTGAATATGGAGGAACGAATCATACAACTCCACCATACTACCCTAACCTTCTGTAAAGAAGATACCTAGACGATACAATTAGTGGTATATCGTATAGCAAAGTTTTAACTGTGTAATCTGAATTTCAAAGTGGATACTTCTTATCAAACAGTCACCATATTACTTTACATTAAACAAAGTCTAACTACTAGTCTTTTCACAGCAGTGTTAGTATAAGGCTCCGACACTGCTATAGTACACTAATGAAGACGAAATTTTCCTGGAGTATCTTTTACTTTGTTTGACCATCCGTCTTCAATCATTGTAATTTTGCTCGAGGTATATTGCAGATCAGTGAGTGTTGCTTATTGGAGATGAGGTGGTTCCCAGAAAAGTTATTTCCTCGCCGCATTAGCGAAAAGGTGATGTACATTGTAACGAAAATAACTGCTTAAAAGTTGTTTTTTTCGACAACCATCGTCTTTACAGTTATCTCATTGAAGAATTCGCTTCAGTGTCATGCATATGTAACTCCACACAGACTGAGTTTTGGACGACTTAGTGGAATTTCGGACACTAAAAAAAGAAATTTGAAGACAAATGTTTTCTCGGCAGATTTGATTTCTAGGTATGCATTTGCACATAACTATAATAAAAAGTAGCCTTGTGAATATATACCAACAATTAGACCATACCAATAGCAAGGAATAATAAATTTTACATCACTTTCGGGTTGAAATATATGCCAAAAAGCTTGAGAGGCCTCGAAAAAGGTCTCTAACATTCCACCGAAACTATTAGCTAACAAAATACTTCCACAGAACAGTACACCATTTTAATATGCTGATCATAGCTTTTTTCCATGATTAGGCTTAAACTTGACGCTTTTTCCTGTAGATTGCCAACGAATCTCATCATCACCTACTTGTTTGTATGCTTCACAATTTTCAACAGCATTTTCCACTTGTTTGAAAGCTGGGGAGGTGAACAAATACTTTCCACGTGATGTGTAGCAAAGTGTTTAGACTACAATTTAACAGCTCTCCAATTCACTTCGTCTGTTATTCTGTTGATTTACTCGCTAGACGGTCAATTATTTGCCTTCTCAGAGTCGTGAAATTCATTACTTTCCTTAGGTTATTCTTTGATGTACAGCATCGCTCATTAATTCTCACTAATCCCTTTTGTTTGTCAGTTTCTACCTATTCTTACGACTGTCGTTTAGTTTCTGAGACTAACTCTCTCGGTCATACGTGTCTAAGCTCAGAACCACCTCACTATATTCCGAAGGGATGCTACCTTGACGTCGTGGTCAAGTTTGCATATCGCAATGACCCAACTAGCTATCCTGGTGGAGCGCTTATTCCTGAAAGGTCCCATCATACCGGAAAGGTCTGTTGGGTGGTGATAAGACGAAAAGCAGTTACCACATCATTATGGTTGTTTGAGGGCAAAGTCGTACTGCTACTAGCTGGATAGGGTGTGACAACAGTAAAGTGTTTCCCTTGGATGATCAGCAGTGCCGTGCTGATTCTGCTTTCCCACTCCCTCACTGCATGCCGATGCTTGCAACAGTGATTCATAGTCGGATTGAAATTCAACCGAATAGATCTGTAAGGACTAGGAAGGATTTTGAGACTAGGCGATGCCTATTCGTAATCTCCATCTAAGCACTCACCGATTGTAGTTTGTATGATGCAAAGGATGAGAAACTGTCAATTTTGTTACAGAAAGCAGGACGTTCAGGTGTAATTATAATGGCAGGTGACATAAACGCTCAAGTAGCCAATCGGGGAGGTGTCTAGGAGTCAACTACTGAGTCCCATGCCAATGAACTGAAAACGGTGATCGTCTGTTGCAGTTTAGTTCCGACAATCACTTGTTTCTGGCCAGCACTAACTTTAGAGATAAGGAGAGCGACTGTGTCACGTGGCATCCACCGATTCCAAGCCAACGATGGACACAGATAGATCACATAGCTATAAGCCATCATTGGAGAGGATCGGTTTGAGGATTGCCGTTCTTTCAGTAGTACCAGTTTGGACTCCGATCATGCACTAGAAAGGGGTGGTATATGTCTACGTCTTAGTGGCCACAGGAAGTAGGAGACACTAGGGTCCATCTGCTCTCGTTTGGTAGAAGAGGACGCCAGGTTCGAATTTGAGAAAGAGAGATAGCTAAGCATTCATCTGAAACAACAATGCGCATACTGAGTAAACCCTGGCATGACGTGATATTAGGTCTACTGTAGAAACAGTGATAAAGACAATTGATAACCCACACATGAAGGTTAACAAACGTCATTAGATTTCCGCGCCCTTACCTGAACTTTTTGATGCGAGAAGTCTGATCCCAGCTTAATAGCTCTGACCACGACGAAGAGCAAAAGCAACTCAAACGTAAGTTAGCCAAGAGTGTTTGCGTCGATCACGAGCGGTGGTGGGTGGTGAAAGCAAGAGAGATGGAGAAGGGATCAGCATTGAATAAAACTTGGCAACTATTTAGGCTTATTAGGGAACCTGCAAGAAGAAGACGATGATGAGTGAAACCATCATGGAAAGGTATGAGAGATTGATAATCTCCCAGGACAGGTGGCTAAAATGTTCTGCAGCACACCCTGAAGCACAGTTCAACTGGCCCTCATCAACGCTTGAGTTGTCTAACACTTCAGTCTGGGGTGCCGGTGCACCAACTCATTTTGAAGTTGAGGAAACCTGTATTGAACCTTAGAGGTTTCAATGCAGGGAAACCTTACAGTTTTCCACCTGAAGTTTTCAAGGATAGGGGAAAGAAATTGTTAATTAAAGTGACGGAGATACTCCGTAGTGTATGCGAATGCGAGATAGTGGTGTCAGACTGATGTACTTCACTGATCATCCCAGTGTATAAGAAAAGGGAAAATCTTCTGACAACCTTACAGGAATTAGTTTGACTAATATTGTGCCCAAAATCCTCGGATCCATGGTTATCCGACATCTAACTGGAGCTCGGGAACAGTAAACTCAAGAAAACCAGAGAGGTTTCAGACAGAGCTGGACATGGATGCATCGTTCATATTTTCACCCTCCGACATGTTCCGAAAAAAGGCATGGCCACCAACGACCTACACTTGCAATATTTGTTGATATAAAGGCAACATTTGACCCTATCACCCATGTGGTATTGTGTGAGTATGTGACTATGAAAAGAGTACCGAGCAAGTATATAACGCTAATCAAAGCTCTCGACTGGAACTCACGCAACCGTGTAAGGACTTATCGAGAGTCGTTATTTGAATTGGGGACAACTAGTGGTGTAGGCCAGGGATGTCCACTATCATCGTTCGTATTTAACTTCACCACAGGCGTACTAACAGATATTACGTCTGACTTCACAGGGGTTGACCTACTCCCTGCAGGGCATCTGGTTGTCTTGGATTATGCAGATGATATAGTCCTGCTAGATGAAGACGCTGATAAAATGCAGGGTCTTCTGGACACGTTGAGCGGAATTCTGGGTATGCTTGGCTAGCATGGGTTTTGGTGGAACCTGTGAAATGTAAGATGATGCTCCATGAATGGTCGTCTGCAACCACTCACACTTTGATGATCGAAAGTAAAGTGGTGGAACTTGTCGACCACTTCACTCGATTGGGAAGTTGCACAAGTCCGAATGGGTTATTTGCTGACGAAGTCTCAGCTCGCATATAGAAGCTCCGTCTTGCATTTGCTAACTTGCGTCATCTGTGACCTCTGTGAGATATCTGTCTATCAAAGGAAGAGTATATTGTGCTGCAGTTTGTTCTGTTCTGTTGTACGACTGTGAGACATGCCCGTTAAAAGTAGAAGATATGAAGCGATTGCAAGTGTTTGATGGTAGGTGTTCTTGTAGCAGTACTCACGTTTGGTGGAATGAGTGTGTGAGGAATGTTGAAGTTAGGCGAGTGGTACTAGGGAAGACAGGCATGTGGATTGGTGTGGTTGTGAACGTGAGTCGGCTGAGGTGGCTCGTGCGCATGCTCAACCACCGCATACTTCGACGTGCCATGCTAGGGGAAGTTAGATTAAGTTGGAAGAGGGTTCAGGATGGTCTCTGACCGTTGGTCTGAGTCGTTTGAGGAGACGTAGATTGCTAGGTTGGGGTGGTGGAGACAAAAGGAATTATTGGTTAAGGATTGACTCTTGATGACAAGGCTGAGAATCAGTCACAGTGGCGCAGATGTATTCACTCATTGACTAACTCACGCTAACCGCTATCTTAAGTTTTTTTATTCTCTTACACAACTTTGTCTGCTTTGATATCAGTCTTTGTCTATGCACATGTTCTTTGTGTACTTCTGTGAAGGGCGACAACTTAAACGGGTACACTTATGTGCGACGTACTGCGTTGATTTTTTTCAGTCCGTTATCTTGCTTTTTATGAATGACTATGTGTCATGTAGAGGCTGATATTACTTTTCATTATAAAATTGTCCACAAATTCCTCCTGAAACCTGTAATACATAGACGCTTAAGCGTAAACTGCTGTCTTCTATGTGTGATGTTCAACGGTGACTGATGATAGGATATTCCATTCGACAAGTTTTTGGATTTTGACTGTAGTTTTTCTCCTTTCAAAATTTCATTATTTATTATTTTATGTGCTCAGATTTCATGTTTATATTTTAGCTTAAAATTGACAATCTACTTAAATTGCTACGCAAATGTCTGTTTTGACTTTTGGAATATAAGTTTGATAATCGTGTCAGTGATTTTTTTTTTATACCATAATCACTGCCTTTGAAAAAAACTCTTTTCTAGAGATTTTATTCTCAATTCAGTTTGCCCACGAATTCGTAGATGGCAACAATGGTGTATGAACAATACAAATGATGTAAACTTAATCAATCAAAATGAACGTTTGACTAGAACTCAACTTCGTATATTTTTGATGCATGTTAAATCGAAATATGAAAAAGCCTTGATTGAGCCGGGAACAGCTGTTGGTGCATTATGTGGCCAGTCAGTTGGTGAACCAGCTACTCAAATGACATTGAAAACATTTCATTTTGCTGGTGTGGCTAGTATGAATATTACTCAGGTAAACTGATTTTTATCGTCAGTGTCAATTCTGTCTGCCATGACTTACGATACTTTAGCTATTAACATATTGCTTTTGATATCTATCAATATGGTTTCACATGCCTTGTACATCTCGTTCCATTAAAACCCACTGTGTGAATGTTTTTACGAAGTTTCACTTCTTGACTCTACTGAAGTCGAACGTTTTGAGCCCTATGCATATCCTTTCTCAAATTTTTTATCTTGTTCTTTCATTGGGTTGTTTGAATTTGTGAAAATCAGAATATTGTGTTATTTGGTGAGACCAGTCAAGAAAAATTAGTCTTAACAGTCGATTTTCACTTCTCGGATTATAAGTTGAATAGTGAGATTGTGAACCTTAGTCGACTGAGATGGCTTGGACATGTACTGCGCTTGTTAAGGGAAGTTGGATTAGGATAAAAAAGGGTTCAGCGTAGCCAGACCACAGGTGCACACTGGATTTTTCGCACGCCAGTCGATAAAATAAAATATTGTGTGTTATGTGAACAATTAGTATTCAAGCGCAGTTAGAGACGAAGTAATTGAGGAACTCAGGATTTTTAGTATCACAGCTGTATTACATACTTTCTCTTCAGTCATCGATTGGTTATGATATTACTTCACTATCGAAAATTTTGATTGAACTACAGATTTACATCCACAATGCAGATATTTTGCCTTTTCCATATGCATTTACCACTCCGACTGAATAGTGTGTTCCTAGTCTAATAGTCTAATAAAAATATTTCATATGGTTATCAGGAAATACTTAAAGTACCATGAAGCAGGTACTTTTCGTTTCGTAAACTGATGTTACAACAAATTTATTTAGTGTGTTTTCCTTCTGAATAAAAGGCTCATACAGAGTATCAATTGCACTGACAGGGGACTGGACACTGAGTTGTGAATACTGCATGCATACGACTGTCTCTTATTGCAATCTCTTCGCATACCAAGCATGGGTTTTGTTGAATCGATGCATTACACAGTGTCGCGCTGAATACATGACAAGAAGTAATATACATGCTGTCATGGAAGGATCGATGGTGAAGTTTGTGACTTTAGTATCGAATAATCCAAATTTGAGGCCTCTTTTCCCCTAAAAATCCCAGGTACACAAATCTTTTCAATCATTATGGGCAAGCATGGGTAGTATAGCAAGATTGTGAACCCTAGTCGACTGAGATGGCTTGAACAAGTACTGCGCATGTTAAGGGAAGTTGGATTAGGATGGAAAAGGGTTCAGTGTAGCCAGACCAAGACGTGGCACCAGGCTATGAAGTCCCCGACTGTTGGATTAAGCCATTTGGGAAGATGTAGATTATCTGGACAGAGAGGAGCCCCGAGACGAAAGGAATCAGTGGTTGAGGATTGACTCTTGGTGACAACTGAAAATCGGTCGCAATGGAGCAAATGTATTCACTCCTTGACATCTAAATCTTGAATATTCACACTAATCGTTATCTTCAAATTGTTTATTCCCTACCTTGATATCACTCTTTTTCTATCCTCCGGTTCTTTGTGTGCTACTGTAGTGTGGCGAACTGAACCGTTGCGCAAGGTTCTACGTTGATTTTGTTTACCATAGTAGTAACGTGTGAGTTGATAGTCTAGTATGTATGTATGTATGTATGTATGTATGTATGTATGTATGTATGTATGTGTGGTGAGGTGGAAAAGTTGGATGACCCTCTGATCGATCCGGATAGGAGTTACATATAGATCTTCCTGTGATTGAAAAACCGTGAAATCTCAGAGGAAATCTGTCTTTTAATTCCAAGTTTTACTTGGTTGCTTGACCATTACGAGCTCCAAATTCACCATTGATGCTGGAGTTGTTGCTCTGATTCAGGAGCTCGATTCTCAACTAATGTATCATAGACTGGAACCCAGTTTCTCATTGGAAGGTTTGGGTAGCGAGTTAGTATCATTGTTATGCCGATCTAGTTATCAACTTCTCCTTGTATCCTCTCAATACAAAATACCAGTCCTTTAACTTATTGTAGTTCTTGGTATAAATTATGTGACCAAGTACGATTTCAAACATCATAATTATACTTTTCAGAACCTATTCTATAACCAGTTTCAAAAATACTATTTATCTGCTGTTTCTGAGTTCATATACTACACACTCTTAACAACTAACTCGTACACAGGAAACCACTGACTCCAGATGAGAATAGTTAGAGAGACGCAGACTAGTCTGGATAAGGGACTTAATCACCTCCGAGAAGATTCAAAATAACCTGAAACACCCATTTATATGTGCATGACGTGTGACCCTGTTCAGAATTTGAGACAATAAAATGATAAAAGCAAGTGTCATCCAATCAGCGAACTACCTTCAAAAAAAGGAGCAAAAATGATCACTTCAAAATGTACAGACTAGTAAATAGAGTTTTTATGCACATGTTAGGGCCTCCCAAAACATATTTGTGCATAGTTCACACGTTAATGTTCATCAGGATCACATTCTGTCTCCATCTTACGAAATTATCACAAAAAATATTCTCCTTGTTGTAACTCTTTATTCCGCTAAATCCAGTGAATTCCCCTCAGATGACTATCGGATAAGATTCCGACTACTTACAAGATAACCCTTCTAGACTCATTTACACTGCATTTCAAATTTTGGTACCAAAAAATGAATGCAGATCACTTTGACCAAACATATGATTACAATTAATAATTTCTGGGAAATAATCCTATTTCCCAAAAAATTATGGTTGATAGAACCTCAGCACAAACAGAACAGTTTTTTGGATGATTGAATGTATGACTTAGTGATGTGGGGGTTCAACTTCCAACCATTTAGTCTCATAGTCGACCTCAGACGACAGTGAATCGTTCATTGCCTACTACACGAATGCCCACTTGTTTGCTGAGTGGATTTCGATTTTGAATAATGAATTTTTTCTATCCACTAGGATTCTTATTTAGTGTCATCATTATTGTCTTTATTTTAATTGTAGGATTTTTTAATGCCTTATTAAAAAGTAGCATTTCCAAACTATGATGTTTTATGTTTCAGAAATGCATGTTTGACATATGTGATTTCATTTCTTGCTTACCGATTTTCTTTCTAGGGTGTTCCTCGTATGCGTGAAATTGTCAATGCAGCAGCCAAAATAAAAACTCCGTTGATATGTGTAACCTTGACAGATCCTTTCTCGGCATCACTGGCACGCCAAGTGAAATTATCTATTGAACCAACACGATTAGCAGATATATCATTGTCGTTAAGTCAGTGTTTAACACCAGAATATGTATATGTTGCCATTAAATTGGATAAAAAGCGTATGGCTAGACGAGGTATTACAACACCCCAAGTTGCTACAGCTATTCAAATGGCAAAGTTGAAGAGAATCAAACTGTCGGTATGCGTTCACTTTAGTTGTATTGAAGTGTGTTGCTTAATTTGGTTACAATGTTGATAAAAATCATCTCATCCTGGTTTGAATACTTCTTTTCATCATTGCCTATCATCTATTCTTTTTAGAAATTTCATCTACGTCTAGTGGGGAAAACTTAACTGCTATACAGCACTGAATACTTTAATTTAGTTAACGCTGACCATCTGATTTCGATGTAGAGACCCAGTGGGGCAATTCGCTCTTCGAGTGAGGCATGCATATCTTGATTTTAATAAAGAAAGGATTTAAGGTTTTTAAGGTGTTGAAAAGCTGGACGAGACATGGCTGATTAGTATATATCTACATATAGGATGACTATGGTGAACTGTTTGTGTTCTGTCGCACTTCGGAACCTACAGTATCTTTTCTTTTCATTATTCTAGCGCGTAACCTATTCGAAAGACAGCATATTTGTATACCCAGTGGATTTGAATGCTCTAGAGACTGTTGTCAAATTGGTGGAAGACGTGGTTGTCAAGGGTATACCTGGTGTATCACGTGTTGTAATTCAACAGGATAGAGGGGAACATCGAATTTTTGTTGAAGGAGCCCGATTACGTGAGGTTAGTGTTTTTAATATTTTCCATGTTGTTTGACATTTGGTTTTCGTTGTTGGCTTATATATATATTTATATATATATATATATATGCTTTATCTTACAGTCGTCGCAATGCCATTTATTGGCTGCTTGTAGACTGTTTCCATCCCCCTATAAATTAAACTTAAGGCTACTCTAAACTTTTCTTAGGTTCGCTAGGAAAAGTCTCAGCCCATCAATATCATCATTATAAAATAGATTTTAATATTATCCAAGCGTAGCTCCAAAATCAAAACTGGATTTTTCTGGCCACTTTGCCGAATATCATGTTTGATCAGTGAAATAATCTAGCGGATCGCGGAATAGCATATAGTTGAATGTGAATAACAATTCCATAATTTCTGGATCTTTTTAATCCGTTAAATCAAGTGAATGAAGTGATTTATCTTCTCTGTATCGATTTAGTTGTATAGATTCATACAATTATATACTCTGACAGTTTAGACTCCATTTAGTAATTCTATCCTTTGGTTTCATTGTTTATAGCTTAGTTAAGATGTATACACTATGGTACAGAAATCCACCCTTTAAATTGATATGAAACAGAGTAATTAAAAGTGTGATATACTCATAGTCGACACCGTTGTTTATCCATTTCACGTTCATCTTACAAGATATCCAAGGATACTAGTCCTACCATGATTCTATCTCTCTTATGTTGACTAGTGTTGATTCCGTTTTTCAAGCAGAATAATTATCAAGTAACTTCGACTCTAACATTAATCACTTTTTAAGTAGTCATTTACAGATAAGCATGGTCGTATTGACAAACGTAGAAAGTAAACACTATAGTAAAATATAATTCCATATTAGTTTCAGACACGACTCATTATTGTGGTCATTTCTTAAACTGACCTGATCATCTTTGAGTGATCTCCATTCTTGACGTCTTGAATATGTAAATTATTTTTAGTGCAATTTGACATATATTTTGTGTACTTCAAAACTTTAAGCGGTATTGAATACAGTATTTAAAAAAAACCAAACATAGCTGTTTGTATGATTACTATTTCTCTTCAAAATGAACTTCCAGTGATTTTATAGGTTTTTCAGTTTCCTGTCATTGATTTTGTCGAATAGATCGGCTCCTATTGGCATATAGGTTCCTGTGCAGTTGTCTAGATATACCCCATAATAATATAAGCTTGAAGCTAATGATGCATAGCGGCCAGCATTACGATCCAGGATGCGTGTTTTATCCTATTTGGAACTCTTCAGTGGATAATGCTCGAGCGTTTGAAGCGATTGCTGCTGGATTTGTGTCAGTGCGAAAAACTACTCACTGAAAAGCAGCTGGCGGCTCTGCTGATAAGTCTCAAATAGAACAAAACGCACTTCCTGTGTTCCGATGTTGTTGGTCAATATATATCATCAGTCGTAAATCTTCATAACTGCATAAATTGCCATAAGGGATTTCGAAAGAAACTAGTGCTATACTGGTGTTTTTTTCGTGTTCAGATTTCCTAGACCTTCGTTCAAATGATTCGTCTCCAATAAAAGGGAATATGTACTTTCCGAGCTATTCTCACCGTTCATTTACTGTGAGTGACATTTCAGTGTATAATTTCAAAGCCATTTTGTCATCATGAATTAATATCAACTGGAGAACTACGAAAAACCAGAAGGCACTAACCTAGTTTGAAACTTCTCAACAGTCCGTAGCCAACTCGTGTTCTTGTCTTCTTGAAGTGGGGATTATTTTCATTTTTTAACACTCTTTCATGATTTTTCACTATGCTATCAGAAACCATGTAAACAAATACAGTCAATAATTATGCACCTTTTCACTTGCTTTTTTTTCATCTTTTTAGGTCATGTCTGTACCTGGAGTTGTTTCTGAGTGTACACGCAGTAACAATATTTTAGAAGTGGAACAAGTTTTAGGCGTTGAAGCAGCTCGACGTGTAGTGATTGACGAATTGTTAGCTGTTATGGAAGGTCATGGTGTGGAAGTCAATGTGCGTCATGTGATGTTGTTGGCTGATGTAATGACTAATAGGGTAAGTAAATTAAACAATATATCATTCTAAACGTGCCGTTTAGCTTCAGTATTATAGTTTCCGTGCAATAGTGTATCATGTTTATATGGAATAAGTGCTAGTGGATACACCAAGCTTTTGAATGTAGTGTTTGCGATAAATTATCGACACATAAGTTGTGTACGTAAACTGTCTCACGACTTGCAGCAGTTCACCGTCCAGCTTGATTGCTGCTTCACGTTTCTGCAAATCTTAGAGAAGCACTTTGTCGTTGTTAAAAGGTTCATACCATAGCTACAGGCACTGACCTATCGACCAAGTGCAGTTTAAGTAATTTGTCACACAATTTAATGATACCTTTCGCATACTCTCGGAATTATACTTGAAGGATGTAGATTCAATCAATCATCAGCCTGTCACCTGACGTCAACGAGGAATAAAGCAAGAAGCAAATTGTTGTTCTAGTTTAAGACTGTTGAGCAGTTTGTCTCCAAGAATGACTCTAGGACTGTCGAGTTCGGCGGTGAGCACCTAGTGATTTGATTTTCACTCTCCAATATTTTCCAACTTCATCCGTTTTAATGTAGTATGTTCATCTTCCTATGTCATCGATGAGTAACACACAACCTGGATGAGCCTATATAGTTTCGTCTTTGTATATTCTTCGATTTCGACTTCAGTAACCAGGTGTAGACGAATACTTTTATATAAATACGACTGGGAGCACCACATCTTAGCTATGAAGGTAGGATAATGTAAACTAACGAGAGTAAAGTGAAGTTTCTTCTTAATCAATCATTTTCAAAGGTTATACATTATTTGTAATCGCAACAAACGATCAAGCTTTATCATTGGTTAGTAGATCGTTGACGAGAACTATCCTTGAAAGAATCAGTAGATCAATTTATACGAGAAAAAGGTTGTGAAACAAACCGAAGGAGAGATCATGATCACGGCGCATAGAAAACTCTCTAAACTGCTATCTCACCTAAACCATTACCATGCATAAGTAAGTGATGAGGCTGCACTCCTTTTTGCGCTGGTCAATTTGACTTTTCGGGTGGTTTTGAAAGAAGAGAATATGGTAAAGCTATATTTACAGATTTCAAGTTGGTACCCAGAACGGACTGGCATCAGTTGGAGGAACATTAGAAACCTGGGTACACTGGACAGCTGTTTCGTCTTGGTATTGGACTCCTCAGCGGTGCGCACCCATGCCCTTTCGGGAGATCGAACGCTGGACATTCAGGTTCGATATCTATTCAGGGTCATGGGTGCGAACAGCTGAGAAGTCCCTTACTAGGATGAAAAAGCTGTCTAATGCTCCCAGGTTCCCAATGTTCCCCCAGTGGATGTCACTCCATGATGAATACCAACCTGAAATCAATAAGTCCCTACAAACTTCCCAATTATATTCACAAAGCTGGTCAGATGTTTGAGGACAGAGTTAGGCGTTAACTTGAATTTTCTGTTGAACAGTCAAGCATAATATTGTCTGGAAAGAGCGCGCTTCTTTTGATGTGTGTAGCAAGGTCAACACAAACACGTAAACCGTATTATTGTGGTTAAGGAATTACTCACTTGAGACTTCAATTGAAAATTGATGTATACTCAATGTTTTTGTTATACTACCTTTAATAATTAATAAATTACTTCACTTATTAGAGTGAAATCGCTGTAAAATAGCTTCTTAAAATACTGCGTCCAGAATTACTGTTGTTAATTATTTTGTTCCAGGGCGAAGTATGCGGCTATCAACGAACTGGTATGGCTAAGGCTAAAAACAGTGTGCTCTGTTTGGCTTCTGTAAGCATTATTTGCTGTATATGTATATCTTTTTCTTGATTTTTATCTCCTAACTGTAATTTTACTAAACTCGTAAACTGTTGCTTGCCACATGTATCTACTAATGTGCAGTACGAGTAACTCGAGCTGTAAACAAGTTTAAAAAACAAGTTAATCTAAATCCACTGTAGTATTCATACAGTAGGCAATCAGCCACACGTAATATGTAAGGGCTGATGGTCCTGTCTGGATGCTGAAACCGCGGGACTTCAAACGCCGTGACGCAATGGTTAAAAGTTATCTCCCTAAACTAGTGGACCACAACTATTCCACATCACCATTCAATCGATATTTTCAAAGCTCATTTGAGACTATCGTTAACTTTCATAGTGCTCACAGTATTTGGGATGTATTCGGGTTAACAAAATCATTTCCACTTAATAAATACTTGAAAAAAGACTGAACATTTTCTAATTGTGGAGTATTTAAAGCCCTGAATAATTTGCGCTACTCATCTTATGGAGTTTAAGGTGAATATAAATTCATTCTCATATTTCATATCGAGTTGGATATACGTGTCTCAGTAACCTTCGTCTATCGGCGCTTTAAATATTTTTGTGACTATTCACAGTAATAATAATAATCACGTTATGGTGTAGATAAGAAAAATCTTTTTCTTCTCAGTTTTCATTATCAACCCTATACTTTCTGTTCTGTCTTTATTTTAGTTTGAACGTACTGGTGATCATCTGTTTGAAGCTGCCTATCATTGTCAAGATGACCAGTTGACTGGTAAGTAAGCATTTTCGATCGGTTGGTTTCTTTTTTTGTCAGTGTCTGTTATTATTTCACAAACAAACTGTTGCAGGAGCTTCTCGTCAACTCGAAGATTGCTTTCATTGTGAATCAACACCAGTTGTCATTATTTTGCTTACCTAGGCGCGTGTCACTCTTCTAACGTGTTCACTGTGAGGATCAGAGGGATCAGTTAGTGATTTTCCAACTTCAGTGTCCTTAGGTTCAAAATTACTTTCTTCAAGTAAATACGACGGTTTGTGTTGAAACCGATCATCAAGTTTATTTTTTATCCTTTTCCATCATAGTTATCATTATTCATTTTTCTATTGTTTTTACATAGAAGGAAATAATGCAAGGTCTATCAAGATTTGGTGAATATTCTAGTAAAAAGTGAGGTGCAGCCGATCACGTTCACCCCTTTTCCATCGTCAAAAAACCCTGTATAATATCTCTAACGAAACAAATGATGTAAAGTAGAATCATCAATTTGAAAATGATTTGCAAACTTCACGATCCACCTTGATATTTCCTACGGCTGAGTATTTTTTCAACTGCCCAAAAGGGTTTCTGCTGGAAACCACTCAGCCAAGATCACAAGGTGTTACCTCTGACATAAAAGCGTCGTGAACTAGCGAAATGTACTACTAACGAACAAATTAAGTAGTTGGGAATCCTTCAGACTGATGTGTATTACCAAGCCAACCAGATCAGAGTGTTCTAAACACCGGACGGTTTTTTCGCTTATTTAGGCCTGAGCTTATCAGTGGTGTACCTAGGCAAATTCAACTCATAGAGCCTAATTAGTTCAGACCACCTGATCTGGATAGCTGACTCACATGGACCGGTATACCTAAAATAGAATGATCAGTTTGCGAGTGATATACAAATTCCATGGTCCAGGGTGATTCAGGTTTGGCCAGAAACGAGCGAAATGACCGTCCTGTGTTTAGATCACTCTGCTCTGGCTGGCGAAATACTACAGATCAACCTGATGGGTTCCCAACTACTCAGTTTATTCACTTGTAGTATCTTCCACATCGAGTGACATAATTGTTGTGATTTGCTGATACTTGTAATTTCTCGTTGGTATACTAGATCGACGTGACTGGCCTCTGTTGGCTTGTGGGCTCCTCTGTGAATACCCATTGCAGTAGATGCGCCTCATCAGCCTAGTGGTTAACGCTTTGATCTCTGAAGCGATGGACGCAGGGTTTGAGCCTCAGTGGGAACAGCATCATCTACTGGGATGCAGGAACATCCAGATAACATATGCTAAATCGGATGAAACGCGCGTCCTCGATCCCACTGCTAACTGTCACCAATTAGATCACAAAAATGATGTAATCTTTATGCTATGTATGTATTTCTATCCGGTCTTTCTGCTCCTATTTTCTATCTTCCTCTAGGTGTTACCGAAAGCATTATTCTGGGGAATCCCACTAAAGTTGGAACTGGCACATTTGATTTGCTAAGTGATAGATATCCTTTTTAAAAATGTAAATTCATATTGTGTCGATTTTTGTGTTAGCGTTACAGTTATCTACACTTATCTTTTCTGTTTATGAAATGGATTCCTGGGAAACGTAAAAAGAGGATGTCTAGTTACGTAGTTCCATGAGACTATAGAACTACAAGATGTGTATTCAAATTTGATTGTCAGCGTAACTCAGTACATTTACCCTGAGGTAAGTACACCAGACTGAAATCAGTATGGAGATCTACTGCACTTAGCATCAAGAACAAGATCCAGATTTTCACCACTAATTCAGTCAAGTCAGTCAATGCTTCTGTGTGATGGTTCAGAGACTCGGGGCTTTACGAAAAGCATTCCCAAAAAAATCCAGATATTCATCAACAACTGTTGACTACGCTCATTCGATACTGACACTGAAGATCAAACAGTCAGAAACAATAAGCAAGGAGAAACTCTGGCCTGTCAACAAACCAACCGAGAACCCATCGCCCAACAAATATACAGAAGAAAGTGGAAATGGACTGGATTGGGTATATACTTTGAAGACCGATTGGGGACATCACGCGCCATATCTGGTCCTTGTGTGGAACGTCCGAGATGAGGGTGATATGGAGGAGACCACGTGAGTAGGAAATGAAAGCTTCTGGGAAGTCCCGGAGCCAGATTCAAACGACAGCAGGGAAGAGAGTGGAATAGCGATGAACTACTGAAGCTCTGTGTTCCACTAGGAACCCAAGGGACAAATACTAATAATAAAAATACACCTTCGATCACAGTATAGGCACAAAACCGAGTATTAAGACACTGGCAGCATTTCGCGTTGGTCGGAGAGGAATATTCACATTTCGGAATATCTCCATATATATATATATATATATATATATATATATATATATATATATATATATATATATATATATATATATATATATATATATATATATATATATATCCGTGGTTTCTATGTTGAATAAAGCTTTATTGATGTTGGTTGAATATGAAATTAATGGTAGAAGTAGCTTATGTTTGTATCACTACCAAATAGCTCATCTCTTCTGATTATTACAAAGGTTGCAAAGAAACGCTAGAAAACGTACACCAGTTTTGTGACCACTACGTGAATCAATCAGAAACTTGATCAGAATACTCCGAGTAACGGTTACGACGATTCGATAATTACACTGCTTACCGTCCAAAAATCGTGATCCACTCCTTCAGTGGGTCTGTCATGACATGAATCACATGATGTTAGAGTTTCCAACTTTAGCACTAAATGAAGAACAGGCTTTTCCTCAGATATGCATTGCTGCTCTACGCCACCCAGCATAGAATCTTACCCCAGGATTTCACATTGACTAACTCACAGGATAAGTGCAAATGCTTTGTGGATTGTGTCCTTCAGTAACCTATTGGTAAACAAAATGTTCTCATACGAGACGCTTTGATAATACTAGCGCTTCTATTTCACTCGGTTATTTAAGATGCTTTTTTAATCCCTAACGTTTGATTGAAAAGAAACATTTCATTGTTATAACCTTAATTGTGTATCTGTATTGAAATGTTGTGTACATGGGAAAGAAATTTTGAACTCGAGATAAAACCAACACTGCTGGAGTTCTGAGACGGATATATTCCATCATTTGTGTATATATGAATACTCATCTCTTATTTATGTACAAAATCGATTTTCTCAATCGTCTGCTTATTTTTTATATATATCTTATAAAATGAAGCTTTTTATATTTGTGTCAGTGTTGTTGTCATTCTGTAGATGAAATCTGTATACTAGTCGGCTTTGAAACCGGTTACAATCGATATGATGATTGTAACTTCTTTTAGTCTGTTATTTATTGGTACAGGATGTTAACAGTTTGTATGTATCTATAAAATGGATTGGTACAAAAAATCTCTACCAATAGCTTCCTTCGAAATATTGAAAGTTTCTTTCATACACTACACTGTAACAGACTTTCAAGTGAATCATCATTTGAAAATGTCTCTGAAAACAACACTTTAAGTGACCAGTAAATTGCTCCTTTTTCTTCAGTTACTGAGCTTATCCAGTTGGTTGGGTCAATAAAGTTCCTTATGTGAACAAAGAAACACTTTATCCTAATAACAAAATCCTTCGTAATACGAATGTACATGTGAATTTTTAATTAATCATTAAAACCCTTCCTCAAATGATTTTAAATGTTTCAAGATTTTCATGAAATTTAATAAAACAATCTGAACAAAAGTATCCTTTTGAATTACTTTTCATTTTGCTTCACACTTATAAAATGGAATTGTATGCCGTAAAAACAAACCAAGTTTGAGGACAAAAAATGTTTCCGCGTGCAGTGTAAATTAGGGACTGTGAGGAAATTTACTTTTCAAACTGGAGGTTTGTGGAGATTTCAGGTTGGAATTCATCATGGACTGACATCAATAGGAGAAACATTGGAAACCTGGGAGCACTGGAAAGCTAATTTGCCTTAGTATGGAACTCAGCAGTGCGCACGCGGGGTGTCGAACCCAGAACCTTCAGGTTTCGCCACGAGCACGTTACCCTTTGGTAACCTGAAGGTCCTAGATTCGATCGCTGGCGGGATCATAGGTATCTTCTCGTTAAGTTTGCATCAGAGTGATATATATATATATATATATATATATATATATATATATATATATATATATGATGAATGTGTTGGTGGAAGAGAGAAAAAACAACAAACTGGTTTAGTTTACTGATGACTAGAGAATGAGTAACCTCGCCTGGTTAACTAGTTTACTAGTTACTAGCCGGTCCTAAGCCCGGGTAAAGAGGGAAGGTTGGGCATAGGGCTAGCAACCCTACCCCGTAAAACAAATCTAACCGCTAAAGAAACTTCAAAGCACAAACAAAATATAAAAAATGAAAACAAACTTATTCCCCGCTGGAATCGGAGAGGCGAAATGACACCAGTTGGTGAAAGCCTTCGGGAAGCCAATTGGCCGATGTGTCTTCTCTCCTCGATGAAAGCGAAAGTAAACGTGGGGACATGGAATGTCCGCACGATGTTTGAACCCAGTAAGGCAGCCCAGATTGCAAGGGAGATGAGAAGGTATCACATCGAAGTGCTTGGGATTTGCGAAAGCAGATGGAATGGGAGTGGACTCTCCAAACTGTCAACTGGAGAATCAATAATCTACTCCGCTGTCACCCAGACGCCAACCACGAGCACACTGAGGGAGTGGCTATCATGATGTCCTCAAGAGCATCGAAGGCTCTCATGCAGTGGGAACCAATCTCCTCCAGGATCATGACAGCAAGATTCAACTCAAAAGGAAGAAAGGTCACAATCATACAATGTTATGCACCTACAAATAATGCAGAGCAAGAGAAAAAGGAGGATTTCTACAGACAACTTCAATCAACACTGGACAAGACGTCAGTTGGCGATATCAAAATTCTGATGGGCGACATGAATGCCAAACTGGGAGGGGACAACACAAGAAGAGAACTAACCATGGGTCGAGAGGCACTAGGTGAAATGAATGAGAATGGAGAATTGTTTGCAGAATTCTGCGCATTCAACGATTTGGTGATTGGAGGCAGTGTGTTCAGGCACAAAGATATCCACAAAGCGACATGGATTTCACCAGATGGACACACTAAAAATCAAATCGACTTTATCTCAATCTCAAGAAAATGGAGACGCAGTCTACTTAACACAAGGTCAAGAAGAGGAGCAGATGTAGGTTCAGACCACTCACTATCTAGTGCAAGGAACCTTCCAAATCAAGTTAAAAGCCTTCAAGGAAGCTGGTGATAGACCTCAATTCAAGTACAACACTCGGAAACTGAAGGATGAAACTACAAAGGAGATCTTCAAGGCAGCCATCAAGACAAAATGGGAGACATCGAGGAACATCCCTGAAGAAACCTGTGTGGAAGAACACTGGAAGTCTTTGAAAGCTATGTGGAAAGAAACCTGCACAACAGTATTAGGAAGGAAGAAGAAAGAAGACAAGGAATGGATCTCGACGGATACCTGGAAGCTGATAGAGGAGAGGAGGATGGTGAAGCAGAAGATAAACCAGTGCAAGGATGCTCAACGACAAGAGGAACTGAGCACAATGTATAAAACACTGGACAAAGAAGTGAAGAAGAGTGCACGCAAAGACAAAAGACACTTCTACGAAACACTGGCAAGTGAAGCAGAACAGGCTGCAGGTAAGAGAGACCTGACGACATTGTATCAAATAACCAGGTTGCTATCAGGGAAGAGACCAACACAGATGAAACCAATAAAAGATGAAGAAGGAAATTTAATTACAAAAGAAGAGAAACAGAGGAAACGATGGGCCGACCACTTCAAGAAGCTCTTGAATCGACCACCACCTGCACTTCGTCCAGAAATACCACCTGCAGCCGCTGAACTACAAGTGAACATTAATCCCCCAACGAAAATGGAAGTCCTGAACGCCATAAAGCTACTGAAATGCGGGAAAGCAGCAGGACCAGATGGAATACCGCCAGAAGCACTGAGAACAGATGCAGAGACAACAGCGGACATGCTCACACCACTATTGCAGAAGGTGTGGAAGGAAGAGAAGGTACCTGACGATTGGAAGAAGGGTTACCTTGTCAAACTGCCGAAGAAGGGAGACCTCAGTGCTTGCAAGAACTGGCGCGGAATCACTCTCCTGTCCACCCCAAGTAAAATATTAAGCCGCATCATCCTGGAGAGGCTTAAAGATGCACTGGATTCAAAACTACGACCGGAACAGGCAGGCTTCAGGAAGTACAAATCATGTGCAGACCAAATTGCAACGCTTCGCATCATCATAGAACAGAGCATAGAATGGCAATCACCTCTCCACCTCAACTTCATCGACTTTGAGAAGGCCTTTGACAGCGTCGACCGAGAAGTAATTTGGAAACTGCTTCAATACTACGGAGTACCGCAAACCTTTATCCGCCTCATTCAACAACTATATGAAGATGCTACATGCCAAGTAATCCACAATGGGAAGCTCAGTGATGCCTTTGAAGTGAAGACAGGAGTGAAACAAGGTTGCCTACTATCCCCCATGATATTCCTTATTGTGGTGGACTGGATCATGCAGCAAACAGTAGGCAGCGAGAAGAGGGGGATACACTGGACGACGGAAAAGAACCTAGAAGACTTGGATTTCGCCGATGACTTATGCCTAATGTCACATAAACTTGAAGATCTGCAGGCAAAAACTAACAAGTTGATAGAAGAGGCAGCGAAGACGGGACTTCAGGTGAATATAGAGAAGACAGAAGTGATGAAGATACCGCACCACCACCATCAACAACAACAAACTCCAATCACTGTCAACGGGAGAAACTTGAAGGAAGTAACCTCCTTCACTTATCTAGGAAGCACTGTTTCAACTACAGGCGGGACGGACGAGGACGTCAAAGTCAGAATCGGAAAAGCAAGACAGGCATTCATTAGCCTGAAACCAGTGTGGAGATCTTCTGCACTCAGCATGCGGAACAAGATACGGATTTTCAACACCAACGTCAAGTCAGTGCTCTTGTATGGCTCAGAGACTTGGCGCGTCACGAAAGGTATTTCCAATAAACTACAGACATTCATCAACAACTGCTTACGCTCGCTGCTGAAGATCAGATGGCCAGAAAAAATAAGCAACAAGGAACTCTGGGAACGAACCAACCAAGAACCTATCACGCAACAAATATGCAGGAAGAAGTGGAGATGGATTGGCCATGCACTGAGAAGGCCGACTGAGGACATCACGCGTCAGGCCCTCGAGTGGAATCCCCATGGGAAGCGACGAGTTGGACGTCCGAGGGTGACATGGAGGAGGTCGTGCGAGCAGGAAATGAGAGCTTGTGGGCTGTCGTGGGACCAGGTTCAAAAGATCTCAGAGAACAGAGGTCACTGGAGGCGTGCTACTGAAGCCCTATGTTCCACTAGGAACCCAAGGGACTAATAATATAATAATAAGAGAATGAGTAACGCCGAGACGTGTTTTTTCTGAATGCAGAGTTCAGGTCTGGTCAAATGTTTCCTTACAGCTCCAGTTAAGAAGGCATTGCCAAGCTGCATGTGTTAATTTCTTCAGAAAATGGTGTATAACAGTATAAGCTTTACTAACAACTATGTATTGCCTTGTGTTTACTAGGTGCACTAATATAGAAAATTTTCACCACTTTCACTTCACTTTTTCCAAACTAACCGGGCAGATGCTCTCAAATTGGGTGCTGCATCTGCCCAATCGTTTGAAATCCTTGTTGTTTGTCTTTAAATGGAGGCCATGAATCAAAAGCAGTTTACCGTGATTCCGTCTGAACTCTAAAAAACGTTTTTCTCCTTACTACTCATAAGTAGTCTGAGGTGACCAGTGAAATTTAACTCTGGTGTTTTAAGGGCTAATTTAAAAATGAATTTTTTGAAGAGAAATGTAGCACTTTAATTGTTTCAGTTTTGAGACGGAAAACTTAAGATTAGACCACTTTCTTTGAAATGTAATGGTACGGACTGTGGAATGCTTTTGTTGGTCGTTAGTCATGTATTTTCTATATCAAGTTCACGAAAAGTGGTAATATCCTTCGAGTATTTCCGCTCATCAAACGAATAACATTTCATTCATTCATATTTTTCTAGTATACAAAGTCTAAAAAAATTGAACTCATACTAGTGACACTTACTTGGTTGCATTCTATATCAGATTCGGAAAAATTGTTCACGTTTAACTTTTGGGTAAATTATTAAAATATCATGCTATTCTTTTGTTAATACACTGCTTACATTAAGTGGTTTAGTTGCATTCAGATTTCCCTTTTATAAAATTTCGTTGTTATTTACTTTTGGATAGTTATTCAGGATGAATCACTTTGTTACTGAAGGGTAACTAGTTTCATGTTGCTTAGTCCTACGATCATCAAGCTAGGTGCCTCATCATCATAATGCACTGTGACTGGTGTTGATGAGTTGGAGGCGAACGTTAGGAACATGTTTTTTAGCACTCGCTATCAAGTATGAGACCTAGTTCCAGGGCTGCCTAACGATTGTGTACTTCCAGCTGACTGACTGATAAAGTCAACGTAGAACCTTGCATACAAGTACATCAACTCTAGTGGCGACACTTCACATAGTACTCAAAGAACAGGTGAATAGGAAAAAAGTGATGTCAAAGTAGACAAAGTTGTGTGAGAGTAGAATAAACAGTGTAGATAACGGATAGTGCGAGTATTCAAGCTTTAGATGTCAAGGAGTGAATACACGTAACCATCGTGTCCGATTTCGAGCCATGTCGCCAGCACTCCTTAGTCACTGATTCTTATCATCTCGGGGACCCACAACTTGGCAGTTTATGTCTCCCTTCATGACTCAGACCAACAGTCAGGGACTTCTTGGACTGGTGCCACGTCTTGGTTTGAGCCTTCATCTTCCAACCTAATCCGGCTTTCCCTAGTATTATGGCGCTTTGAAGTAGATGGTGGCTCGGTATGCGCAACCCATGTCCAAACCATCTTTTGCGATAAAAGTCCATAACCACATCAATTGACTCGCCTGTCTTTCCTTCGCCTGACAGCATTATCTCTCACACGGTGGTTCTACCAAACGCGAACAAAGAACCAACCAACGGTTTTAACAGATATCAATATAGCTTTTTTTTTAGAAAGAGCTGCACTGGTAAACACTGTAACAATTGGTATCGCATATCAACGTAATTGTACTGAGTACACCATCACTACATCAGTCGATTTTGTCCTTGTTCATTGTTGTTTAAAACTGAATGACTGCCATTCATTATTTTCTGACTTGCAGTTGTTGCTTTTGTGAGATTTCGTTTTCCTCATAGAGGCTATTCCTTAATGTAGATAGGAGTATCTTTTCAATTTCAAGATATTATTTTCGAAAATTATGGAGAGAAACTGCAAAACCAATTTAACGCTAGTTGAATTTAAGTTCTTATCTTCGATGTTCTCAACAAAAGGGAGGAGTATGCTTGTCTGAAAGTCGGAATCATCAATTGTCCTAACTCCTGACTGGTTAGTAAAATTCTTTGAAGGGAGCTCTTATTCACGTGATTACTTTCTCAGTCTGTTTTGTCTGACGTTTCACACTAACGGCGTTTACTTCAGCTTGCAACTATTTAAAGTGCATGGAAAATTCTTTTTAAGAGATATGACATGATCATCCAGTGTCTCACTGAAAGGGTTGCCGGGTAAATACATCGGTCTTTTGAAGGCTTACACTAGAACACCTGTAGGTATGGTACAGGTGGGTCGTTCAAGTCGATGGTTGCCCTTCAAGGATGTGTAGTCTACATTTTTATTTAATTTGTCAAAGAGATGCTTTTGGAGGTCTCCATCTGCTTGTCTGTCTGTGAAGGGATTTAACTTGCCACGGACAACTTCTTAACAGACCTATGGTACTCAGATGATATTGTTGTCTTTGGCAAAGATACAGCGTCCCCTGAACACTGTGAGTCGCAATTTTAGGATGTTCGAATTGCTTTTCTCACCAACAAAATGTAAATTGTTATTGCAGGATTGGTTTGCGTCGGTGCTTTGTCTGATATAAAGGATGAAGTGGTCCCGCTTCTTAACCATTTTACTCACTTGAGAAGTCGGATCAGCCTTGACGGACCAGCGACTGATGAAATTTCTACACACATGAAGAAGGTTTGCTCGGCATTTACCAACCTGCAGGATTTAATTCACCGACGAGATACTCGGTCGCTCATCATTGGCCGAATGTACTGGCCTCAAGCTCACTCTGGCATCAGTCGATGAAGTCTTGGACTACTGGTCTGAGCCTTGTACGAAAATGTTGAATATCTGGTAAAGGTCTATGTGACAACGAAAATCGGTGGTTGGAGACTAGGTGATTTGGATGAGAATTAGTCTCAGTGGTGCAAATGCACCCATGCATTATCTTCATCCTAATCGTCGTATCACATTTCGTCATTGTCATACTCTACCGATTTTGTTGACATTCTGTTTCTCTACTTTGGTTACAGATTATTGTGCAGTGGTACGTTGATATTGACTAAGTGACTGGAAATTAATTTTTTTCTGTTCATGGCTGTATACATTGTAATCCTCATTCATTATGGGACTGTAGTCAGCACTGTCGGATGTTTTAAATTCAGACTGTAATCCCATAAATTTGTAAATATGCATCTACTATTTGTCCGATTAAAAGTTTCGAATCTTATATCAGGTTCATTCCTTGATTTTAATATGTTATCTGTTCATAACTCTGTTTCAATGTCTCGTTAATGATCCGAATTTGAAACTGATATAAACTTAAACAGCCCACACTTAACACTTTGGTTTGTAAGTTGTACTCAGTGTATATCAAATAGATTGAGTTATCAGTTCAACTTATGAATGGTGTGTGTTTTCGCATGTGAACTCACCCAGAAGTGATGACGTACATCTCTACATCCACCTTTCTGTTATTCTCCTCATCCCACCATTTCTCAAATATTCATGTCGCTGAATTGATTTTTTCATAAATTAGGTTGGGCTAGAAATGGAATCCAGGACGTGCGTTTCCTCTTATTTAAAGCTCGTCAGTTTTATGTACCTGTACCTCAATGAGTGATTTTGTTCCCATTTAGGTTCAAACTTCATTCCTATAGCTTCAAACGCCAAAGCATTATCCATTGACAACAACAACACACTACGGTGCAGATACATGTACCTGACGAGTCCTAGATAGGACGAAACGTGAATCTTAGATTCCACTGCTAGCCACAACCAGGTTGATCATAACAATAAGTAAGTATTCAAGCGATGTCAAGACATCCGCATAGGAGTCCATTTACCAACAGACATCAATCAAGTATAACAACGGAAGACTAGAAGTATCAACAAATAATTGTCATTTAATGGTTTTTAAATTCATAATGTAACTGTAAAACTATACTAATCACTTGAAAGTGTTGCATAGGTTAATACGGGCATCATGAATTTTCGTTTACCTAATTTGTCATTCTAAAATGCACTTTAAAAACAAACTAAAATCATATTAGACCCATTTAGTCCTTCTTGCTAAGATAATACTCTTGATATGATCGAATGCCAGATTTTTGAAGGAATTGATCAAGGTAGTTAGCTGGTGTTTGTAATAATTGTTGTTGTTCGGCATTTTCATAATCATCAAGGTGTTGTTGAGTAAACGAGAATTTCTTCTTTACATTAAATGGAGTAGTTGATTGTTTCATTTTATTCCGATAATTATATGCTGAATACCATCCAACTGCGAATATTATAAAGATGAGAAGAATGTTTAATGGTCCCATGATTAAAGCAACTACCCGCCACAATTGAATTGTTGTCCACATATATTTTCGCGGTATTATTCTTACATGCACCTCATTGGTTAACCAACGAACAGGGAAAGGTGTTGTAACTGAATGACTAGTGATGGCTAATCCTTGAATCCAGCATTGCCATGAACCGGAATATTGTTGTACAGAGTCAGTTAATGCTAACCAACGAGCCCTCCAATGGTTTGAAGCACGAATGTGTGCAGATGATAAGTCATAACCATTCACTTTAGTGACATTATCAAGAAATTCACTCGATAATGGACAGGGCACAGGTGAACCATCTAAGCATATATGAACGGGATGAATCCATTTGATATCTGAATCACTACCGGTTTCAACCACTTTTGAATTATCAATCTGACCGTATGGTATAAATTGCCAACCAACGCTCCAAAATGTTGGATCTACACCACTCATACTTAGTGCTGTTAGAAATAGATCTGCATTACACGGTGCTAAAATTTGAACAAAACAAACAGGCAAAAATTATGTCAACTGGTAGTTAGAAATAGCTTTGTTTAACTAACCTGTATATTTTAAGGTTAAATGGCAATCATCATTTCAATTTGACGAGCACCTTGTCTAATGAATATTCTCTCTAAGGATATTCCACTTTTTACTATAGTTTTCAGATATCATATCTTCTATTTTTTATTCTAATATACATATTAAGGTGAAAATTGAGGAACTTAACATTGATTTGTTCAAATGTAAGCTGCTACACTTGACACAATCTTTCAATTAATTGATCATGATTGACTGGTCTCAGTTGTAGCATCTCTTACTTGATTGTTCATCAGTACAAGTTCAATTCTTGAACGAAAAGCTTGAAGTTCTTCATTTCTGCGGCTACCTCTTACTTATAAATATAGCAACAAGCATGAAAGGTAGTTACAAGGTGTCCAGACGATGATACATACATGCAGAACTTCTACCAGTACACATTTTAAATCAAGCAAATGTATATAGCGGTTTATTTAGTGAATGAACGCTAATCCATGCACCACATTTTCTGTTTACAGGGGCGGAGGTCTGAAACTACACAGAAAAGATTGTTAAGTGTACAGATTTATCGCTTTGACATCGTTCTATCACTAACACTACTGAAAAGCAATATCGTCTCATATAGAATACCAGAATGATAAGCATTCTTTTTATTGTGATGCTCCAGTTTTGTATTAAAACATTGTTATTGGTCTGAACATTTTAACGTGTCATTCCTATACCATTTTTACGGTATGACCTTAGTCTACTTTCTGCCCCTATCGTAATGTAAATCGCTAATTGGTTAGTCTTTACTCCTACTATGTAAATACCTCAAATTAAGGACAAGGTCATTTCTCATGTGTATACTTATTCACGTGTTACGGGTTGATTTATTTTAATATTCTCGGAGTATTACGTTCTCCCATCTGCCAGCTTCGGTGTTCTATCTATTCGTCCGGGGTCGCAGTCAATGGCTCTTGCGTACTAAGTTCGCCGTCAGCTAAGCGTGCGTATTATATTCGTTTCGGAATATATATGTATAACCATTCGTGTTCGAAACTATAACACTTTTCCGTTCTACATTTGATAAAGAAAGTTCATACATTGTTCAACCGAAAACTATCAAACTAAGCATGAAAGCTAGTAGAATTCTCCCATAGTAATTATGCAGGTTGGTAGCACTTGGCTAACTTGAATTCGGTACGTACTTTTCTTCCTACCTTGGGATTGTAATTTCAGCGTACTTGCAGCCCAGTGGGTTTTGGTGCTCTCACGTAAAGAAGCCACATCTCAGTAACCACAAAATGAAATAGGTCAATAAATTCAATCATGAACATCAACCACAAGAGTCATTTCAATTCCAATTACCATTGGAGTTTGAATTTCCACCCTGTCACGTTCGATGTAAGACTGCTGTGACTGATACAATTGTTTACTGCGAACTGACATACTGTTAGTATCCAGCCATCAAACTTTGAATGGTTACTCACAGTCGCCTGTCCTGATTTTAGTTTAGAGGAGTTTAAATTTTTATTTTACTAAAGGGTGTCTGAAAATAAAAGGGATGATAGACACCTGGATGTTAGCCCGTTTTTAATCGCAGTGTAGTGACTTTCTGAGATGGTCACTTTTACTTTTAACAAATTAGCTAGAAGTTCGAACCCTGATCCATCTAACAAGTTCTAGATAATAGTTAATTGGAAGCAATCGGCTAGAAAACCTGTTTGAAGTAGGTTTCGTGCTCGTTGACATTCGTCAGTAAGGCGTATTTACAGTTACAAAGGGACTAATATCCTTTGTGAGATTTGAATATGAGTCACCGAATGCTGCAGTAGCCAATGAGCTTTCCGGATCTCTGTCTCACGAGTCCTTACACATGGATCTGTACGCAGTTATTGAGTTATATCATTTTATTGACTATTACTTATTATCATATGAGCATGTTCTTTAACATTTTAGAAACGTACTAGCTGGTGAACCCAGTGCAGCTGAATCTCAACCACTGCATCGTGGGTTTGAACACCTCCCCACCTACCGAAGTTTCAGAAGCCAGGTAATAACGTTTCCCCTCACACAAAAGGTGTGGGTCATTGCCTACTGCACGGAAGTGCACAAGTTTTCTTAGTGGGTTTTAATTCAGGTGAATCCATTACTTCTTCTTTAGCTCCAAAGTCGTCTGCCATATATTCTTTACTCAAATACCATGTACTCTCCTTTCTCATCGAGATACGAAATCATAATCTTCACTATTTAACTTTGTCTAGTATAACGGCTAAAGAATGAAATTCATTGGTATGCTCAAACATCTACTTTTATCCTACTCTCTATCCATCATCGTTTTCATACTTTTTGGAGAGGATACCTTTACATGTTTTGGGAATACCAATCATTTTATTGAATAACTTTCACCACGGAAACATCTGTGTAAAATAACATTACTGGTGATTGTGTTGAAAATGCTCTGAATTAAATAAACCACTCATTTTTCGAATTTTTTCAAAGGCAGTTTATTAGTACCAACGGTTATTTTGCGTGCTTATTGCAACTATGCGAGGTAATGTTTGTATGTATTCATTTTAAAAAACTTATATATTGTATCAGAACAATGATTAAAGTGCACAAATGTATTTTACCACTTTAACTGAACCACATGACTTCATTCCCAGTGAATATGGCTACTGAATGTTATCGACATACAACGTTTATGTAATTTTAATCTAAAGTATATATAAATGGCAAAAACCTGTTTTGATTTCTCTTTAACTCTGTGTTATTATGTTGAAGCACGTCAAGTGGTTCATTATCGCCCAGTTGTTGCATGTCTCTGTATCCATTTCAAGTACGCTTTCACTTAAGGTTTAATACTTTAGCTCTACAGCTGAGAGGACTGACAACCAATGAATAACTTTCTACATGTAACGGTTAACTTCTTTTTCTATTAAGTGAATTAATTATATGTTAAAATACTCATGAGTGGGAAGTGCACTATATAAAACAAAATAATGTAGGCCGATGCATGAAAGTACATTAATCCAAGTTACTATACATCTTAACAGCACTAAAAGACAGGATGAACAGCAATAAGTGCATAATTATGTTAACAATGAATGAGTTTCATGTGATAAAACATTCAGAACAGATGAAATGTGAATGCATTTGGTTCCTTGTCATCGACTACACCGTTGATTATGAACAACTTTATACAAGAGAAAAAGAATTCCATATTAGATTTGTTTACTTGATATATACAGCACATTGACGATTAGGATGAAGGTAATGCATGGACCCATCTGTAATTATGCCACTGATTCTGAACCATGTCATCTGAAACTTCTGGTTTCTGTTGTCACATAAACCCCAACCGGGATGTCTATTTACATTTCCTTTCACACCTCAGACCAAACGTTTAAGACTTCAATGGCTGTTACCATGTTTAATCCGGCGACTTCTAACCCCTTTTCTTTTCAACTGTGGTTATCATAGAAGGACTATTCTCTTTTCTTTCTCTATCTAACCCGACCAATAATCCCCCACCACCATACTTAAATGCTTCCAGTATCAGTCCATTTACTGTCCTTCTTCATTACAAACTATCTACAGCTTTTTGGTGTATATATAAGTGTTGGAGGCTCTGTTTTTTATGTTCCATTTAGGATCTGACTGTATATCAGGTGCAGAAAGACTGGCTGCAGGCTGTCTGAACTATTCTTGAATGTGTACTACCCATTGTTCAAACCGTCCCTCCCTAGGAGTGAATCATAAACCCATACTTCGCTATATTCTCACACAAACCGCTAACATTTTCGCCCCAGTTCCCCAATAAGTTAAATAACTGTCTACTGTTACCTGTCGCCGCTGCCTTTTCCATCTCTTTGGTTTTCATTGCCCACCACTGTTTGCGGTCATTGCTGAGACTATTAGTCAATCAACGCTTGAGTTGTATTAGCTCCCCATTGTGCTCAAAGCCTGAAGGGATGCGTTCATGCACATCTATTAATTTAGGAATCTGCTGATATCCACTAACCCTTTATTACCACTTTCTGAGGGTATGCTACGGATTTCAACGTTATTTTTACAGCAGACCGGAAATGGCACCAGGCTACTTCTGGGTGTGATGATATTCTGTTCCGAAAACTGTCCAGTCAGTTGTCATTACTGAGCTCACTCTCAACGGTCTTCTAGCTAAAGTTTTTCTACTTTCATTTATGCACAAACATACACGCTCTCGGACCAATGCGGGATTACTGTCCAGACATGTGCTGCAGAAGGAACGGCAACCTTCCATCGGTCCTCTCCAAAGATAATTGATAGCAATGTAGTCTATCTGTGTGCACTTCTGAGTTGAGCTCAGTTGACGCCACGTCAGACAATGTCTTTCTTTATGTCTGAAGTTTGTGCTAACTTGAAATAAATGATTATCTGACCACAGTTGCGTTAAGCGATTGGCGCAATCTGTTCGTTCGGCTGATATTCCAAAAAGCGCGTTTCCCTATGACTTAACCTGCCTACTTGTGTATTGAAATCACTTGCAGCAACAACCATATGTAAACGGTTGCCGTTCAGTGTAGAAGGCTTGAGGATTTTCAACAGAACTCATTCTTCACTCCTCCCGAGCTGTAGTCAGTGGTTACGTAGGTAGAGATTACGAAGAGACAACGGTGGGTGTCACTATTTTTTTTAGTTGTCTTTGTACTGTTCAGTTGAATAGGGTATAGGTGACTTGACTGAAATCGAGTTAAGCAGTTCACATTCTGTCTTAGTATTTAATGCTTTGATTACACCTGCATTAATACGTGAACTGCTTGTAGTTCAAGGGAAACCTTCTTGCTGTGACGTCCCTAACCAGCCAGCTTTGTGATTTCGTCCTCGGATCCGCATCTTAGCGCAGCAACACACATTATAACAGTAACTGCTCCTTGTCTTACCACTATCTGAATGACCTTTCCGGTATGGTATGACATCAAGTGAACAGGCGTTTCACCAGCACAGGTCGTTGGGTCGTTGTGATATGCAACTCAATCATCAAGTCAAGATACCAGCTATCTACTGGATTTGGAATCTGTATTAAACGAGATTTCTAAGCTACATATTTCTTATGCTGAACCGCAGACGATCCCATTACACGATGATTACTGAAACAGAAGTGAATTAGTTACAATAAGTATAAGTGATTAAAAAGCGTGAATTCAGCTCATGAACTCATAAACTTCTGGTGTGACCTATATCATAAGTTTCTAGCGATATTCCACGATAAGTTAAAACTTAGTGATTTCAACCATTCAAAGAGTTATCATTTTTGCGTACATTTTCTCTTTTTGTAAATTATTACAGAGATGTATTAATTCGTTTTGATAGGTGTTAGTTGGATGGAGGCATTCGGCAGAAAACCCTGAACCTAGGTACTCGTCAGCAAGGCGTTTTTGCAACCTCTATGGAACTGATATCTCGCCTGACGTTCAGATCTACACCACCCAGTTCTACAGTCGTCTAGCCTGGTGGCCACATTCCAAAATGATAAACGGAACTAGATCAGAACTCAGGACTAGACAATAAGAAGTTGGTTACCTTTCAGTGGTCAATTAGTGTATCAAATCCACTCCTGCAGGAGGTCGACCCCTGCCCAAGTAGCACATTATTAACGTCTATGACTTCAGCCCTGAGTGACGTGAGTTCGAATCTCAGGTGGGACACCAGTTCCGTAGCAGTTGTAGATACGCCTTGCTGATGAGTGTCAATAAGCATGAAACCCAGGACTAAGGCTACCTGCTGACTGCCCCATCCAACTAATATTTATCAAAGTGCATTGCGATGCTCAATCGCTTAAGTCTGCTGGTCACACTGCAAAATAATCAAGAGAACTCGATGAGCACAAAAATCTGGAATACATGATGTTGGCTACCTCCAGTGACCAATCAATGTGTTAAATCCGTTTTTACTATTACTGATTAGTAGCTTACCTTGAAATAATATGTCTCCCGTCCATCCACTAGTTGGATAGTAAACATTAAATGTCCATTGTTCGAATCCACTTTTGCAATGATTTTCTTCTGATTCATCAAGTTCATTACATCCTGGTGCTACAACCAGATTCGAATGAATGCGTACGAAATGAATACTCATCAGTTCAGCTTGCTTTAAATAGACTGGTGAATAACCATCTTCAATCGGATATGTAACCATTATACATGCATAAACCCCAGTATCTGTTGCATCTGTATCCACTATAGCTAAACGCGACTGACTTATTGAACTCTGAATATTATGTGGACTCCATTGGTTAACTTCTAGGGGATCGTAACTACGTCTTCCATCTCCTAACCATGGATCAATCACATTTGTCCATAACTGATGAACCCATAACACAGCCCATGCTTTTCTTTTTTCAACTGCATTACTTCTTACTACGTTCACTCTATTTATACCATTGCTACTTGTTACGCATGGTATAGTAAGCATACTACCGATTAATCCATCATAATGGTATGGTCCATCCCATGTTTTATTTAAAACACCAGCTAGGAAAAATTTCTCCTTTTTAATGTCAAATACTGGTACATTTTCTGAGTCAAAAACTTCCAGTCCCACTTTTTTATCTGATAAACCCGAATTTAAGCAATAAAGGGATAGTATCAGTAGTATGTTCATGGGATAACGTTAAACTAGTTTTATTTGTAAGTAGTATAGAAAGACTTGATAAATTCATAAGGGGATTACGTGATAATGCATCCTCTTTTGGATAATGAATTTCTTGTCTTTAGAAATTAAAAATCAATTCTTTATCGTCAACATACACCACATGATCTGTCATCTGTTGTTACAATTATTGATGACGCATAGAAGCTGAAACTATTTCGTTTTATCCCAATAAATCTAAAGTTTTTTTATTCTATAAGAACTCTATCCGTAAACTTCTGTTTTAAGCTTAAATTTGTTTTGCTGAAATACAGTGAAATATTATTGGCATACAAGTGAACAGAATAACTCCCATGTCATTTCAATCAAGAAATTAAAAATTAAACTGTACTCCAAAAATCTTCCCCACTATTGGCTTGTATCCTCACTACTCATCTTCAACATTGTTTTATTATTGAGAAGGATCTTTCTAATCAACCTCAGGTAATCAGTTTAGTTAGTTCATAGTATAGCCTTTGGAACTCTTTGAAAGCCAAATGGAAAGAAACCTGCATAACCGTATTATGAAGGAAGGAAGAAGAAAGAAGATAAGGAATGGATCTTGACGGACACATGGAAGCTGATAGAGGAGAGGAGGATGATGAAACAGAAGACAAACCAGTGCAAGGATGAACAACGAAAGAGGATCTGAGTACAATGTACAAAACACTGGACAATGAAGTGAAGAAGAGTGCACGGAAAGACAAAAGACATTACGACACTTTGGTAAGTGAAGCAGAACAGGCTGCAGGTAGGAGAGACAGAGACCTGACAACGTTGTATCAAATAACCAGGTTACTATCTGGTAGAGAAGAGATCAACACAGATGAAACCAATAAAAGATGATGAGGGAAATCTAATTGACAAGGAAGAGAAACCAAGCAAACGATGTACTGACCACTTCAAGAAGCTCTTGAATCGACCACCACCTGCCGTCACAGAACTACTATTCAACACAAATCTCCCAACAAAAGTCGAAGTCCTAAGCTCCATACAGCTACTGAAATGTGGCAAAGCAGCAGGATAGATGGAATCTCGCCAGAAGCACTGAGAGCAGACGCAGAGACAACAGCGAACATTCTTACACTACTATTGCAGAACGTTTGGAAGGAGGGAAAGAAGCCTACAGATTGGAAGCAGGATTACCTTATCAAACTCCCAAAGAAGGGAGACCTACGTCTTTGCAAGAACCCGTGAGGAATCATGCTGCTATCCACCCCAAGCAAAATATTAATCTGCATCATCCTGGAGAGGCTAAAGGATGCACTGGATTCAAAACTGCGACCGGAGCAGGTTGGCTGCCTTCAGGAAGTATAAATCATGTTTGGACCAAATTGCAACAATACGCATCATCATACAACAGAGTATAGAATGGCAGTCAACTCTACACCTCAACTTCATCGACTTTGGAATGGCTTTTAACAGCGTCGACAACAAGTAATTTGGCACTTGCTTCAACACTACGGAATACCACAAACCGTTATCAATCTCATTCAACAACTATATGAAGGTGCCACATGCCAGCCAAGTAATTCACAATGGGAAGCTTAGTGACGCTTTTGAAGTGAAGACAGGAGTGAAACAAGACTGTCTACTATCACGCATGATATTCCTGATTGTGGTAGACTGGATCATGTAACAGACAACTGTTAGGAACAAGAAGAGGGAGGTACACTGGAACGCGGGAAAGAACCTAGAAAATTCGCATTTCGCCGATGACTTGTGTCTAATGTCACACAAACTTGAAGATCTACATGCGAAAACTAACAAGTTGACAGAAGAGGCGAGGCAGGGCAGCGAAGACGGGACTTCAAGTGAATATAGAGAGAAGACAGAGGTGATGAAGATACCCAACCAACCAACCAACCAACAACACCACCAACAACAACAAGCTCCAATCACCACCAACGGGAGAAACTTAAAGGAAGTGGCCTCTTTCACATACACTTGTCTGGGCAGCACTGTCTCAACTACAGGTGGCGGCACAGATGAGGACGTCACAGCAGTCAGGATCGGAAAAGCAATGCAGGCGTTGATTAGCCTGAAACCAGTGTGGAGATCTTCTGCACTCAGCATGTGGAACAAGATTCGGATTTTCAACACCAACGTCAGGTCAGTGCTCCTGAATGGTTCAGAGACTTGGCGCGTTACGAAAGTGATTTCCAATAAACTACAGACATTCATCAACAACTGCCTAAGCTGGCTCGTTACTGAAGATGGAGATCAGATAACCAGAATGATGAGAATAAGCAACAAGGAACAGTTGGAACGAACCAACCAAGAAGCCATCGCTGAACAAATATGCAGTGGAAGGAATTGGAGATGGATTGGGCATACACTGGGAAGGCCGTCTGGGGACATCACGCATCAGTCCAGGCCCTTGAGTGGAACCCAGATGGGAAGCGACGAGCTGGGTGTCGGAGGTGAGGGTGACATGGACGAGATCGTACGAGGAGGAAATGAGAGCTTGTGGGCAGTCGTGGAGCCAGGTTCAAAAGATTTCGGAGAACAGAGTGCAATGGAGACGTGCTACTGAAGTCCTATGTTTCAATAGGAACCCCAGGGACAAATTATAATAATAAATAGCCTTGGGAATAAAACATTCTGTAATCATGTGGAAGAATCACCTGAACACATGAACTTTGGTAGCAGGTGTTCAAGTTCTTCGATCACGAAACATATCGTTCAGACAGGTCACAGGATCAACGTTGCTATTTCTTTTAGACCTATTTACAAGATGCGTTGGAGACGGATCCTTAAATTTGTTGAGGTCTTAGCTATTGGGAAGTTTAAACCACCTTAGTGTCTTCAAAAACAATTTTTTATCATATTGAATTACCCTTGGTGAATTCAACTTTGAAACCAAGTTCGATGTTTTATTATTTTCCTTCTATAGACTCTCATTGTTATTTGGCATTGAATGCACCCTTCCTACTTGACGTCTTTTCGTATCCTCATCCCGTATCTTCATGAACTTGCATATAAATACTTATGACAAGTATGTGTGTGATCCGATTGTTCAAAATGGGTTGCACGAATGCATTACACTGCTCCTACAGTTTACGTCTTCCTATTATTTTGTCAAAGTTTGTAAGGGAAACTAATTGTCTTAGCTCATCAGAATGTTAAACAGACAACCCTTCATGTAAGTAAGTTCTAATATGATCCTAGCGTGTTTAGAAAATCAAAACAAGATTTTCCTGAACGTTTGTTTCGCTGTGTATGCCATAGTTTCTTCAGCATAAAATCCTTTTTCTTAAGCAGCGAAGATTCCAGCTAAAAGTGAATCACTTAAAAGGTCTATCCAGAGAAAACCCAAGTGAAGTGGACAACTTTCACAGTTTGGTGTCTCTAGGTACCAAACGAAATTTAATTCACTATATTTGCCATAGAATCCACATTATCTGCAGTCCTGTTACTTTCAAGGTGTGCTTAATTATCTCAAAAGTGTTTCGATTAAAAACTAGTGTTTTATTGCTAAAACTATGAGGCTGAAAACAAATAGTCATTTCACTTATACTGCTCCTAAGAAGCGTCTTTTAGTGAGCTTATAGTTCAACGGAGACACATCAGCAGGCACACTGAGAAACGGTCTAGTATGCTCAAAATCTTTTCTTTCCTTGCTAAGTAGCATATCACGTCTTCTCACATATCTCATTCTTCCATCTCTATAATTCTGATTTTTCATCGCTTCACTCCAACCAAATTACATTACTTGGTTTTGTCAATTAATATTACTTCGTTCTTGATAAGTCTTCTTCTCACCACTATGTCAAAAATTAGGTAATTCTCTTCCCGAAATCCTTATTTATAATCAAAACTGAATTTCACGGATTATTTTATGAAAAATTACTTTTCTGTTACCATGTGAATAGAACATTTATATGCATTTGTACAACTCGAGAATGATATTGCTAAAAAGAGTGACTCTTCACTAAACTTCTTTTGCTTTGTGCCGTTTACTAAAGCAAACAATTGGACAGACAGTTTTCAAATTGTTGGTTTATGACTGGACTATCTGAGATAACCTTGACTGGTAGACTGGTTTTCATCTTCAGGGATGATGATCCAAGCTTAACCGGTGGATACTGGTTCAACATTCTACTGACTTAGTGTTTCAACCAGTAGACTCTTGTGTCCGTATCCAGATGTTTGTGGTTCGACCTTAATTGACATTCAGGGTTATCTGCCGGTTCCAGTCGTTACGCCTGAAATTACTTGCAAATTTTACCTCAGGTGTTGACATTTCTGATATTCCAAAGGTTTTTCAAAGACGCAACGCAAAATGCAACTCCCCTAGGATCAACTGTCCAGAATCGACTACTCTAATAAATTCAGCCTTTTCGGACTGCCTAACTGATAACGTCTATAGATTAGAAATTCTTTTCCAAATCACTGATGTTTTTCACTGGTTTATTTCAACGCTACAGAAGGCAACATTCACATGAAGAAAGCCATTATTCAGTTTACGAAGACGGTCCTTAAAAGACAGGTGCATTTTCTGTGATGGTCTTCTGTTAAAAGCAGATCTTATCTGTACCTACATGAGGGAATTTCAGCATGCATGAAGCAGTACTTGAATAAATTACAGTCGTTAGTATAACAGTTGATTCAGTGGAGTGGAATATTTGACGACGTTACTGAAGAAATGGATGTATCTGAATTTTTCGCGGCCACGGAACCATTGGCTTTAAAACGGAAGAACCTGATGGACAAAACTTTCTTTGCTGCAAATTTATATAGTTCAGTTTGGAGGTTTGAGGGGATTTATTGATTTCAAGTTGCTCCTCCAACTGATGTTTGTCCCTGATAGATATCAGCTTGAAGTGGGCTCACAAACCTCCAAATTAAATTAATCTAGTGCTCATTATTGGCTTCCTTGGAGACGACAATTTACAAAGTACTAATGAGAACTGGTGACCGATGGGACAAACCAAGTCGAGCGTAAGAACAAATATTAAGAAAAGCCGTTGCATGAAAGTCACACTATGTCATGAACTGGCAGAAGTAGGAAAGTGTGGAGCGCCAGATCCCGCTCTAGTGGCTTAGTAATTATGTGCTTGTTATGAAGCCAGAAGGCCTTG